CTGCCGATCAATCCTCAATGGTAGGATGTACGTCCCGCCTACGCCAACCAAGCACCGCTCTCCCACCCTCTGCTACTGGGTAAGGCAATTCTACGGAGGGCCCGGTATGCCCCAATAAAATATTGTGTCCTGGGACGTACTCCTTCAGTTTCTGGGTTCACAAGGACTACTTACAGAAACCGTATCTAGAATGTACCCGTGGGCGTCTTCAAAATCATAGACGGAAATGCAAAGTGGTGGCAGGAATCGGTCGTGCTGATGCTTCCAGTGGGAACCTCAGGTGCTTGCGGCCACTTGAACGTTTCTGCCAACGACGTAATACCTTTCTGGGCCGTAGGTGCCTGGCAGAAAACGGGCTATAACGATATAGTCATCCAGTTTAGCATGACCCCACACATGAACGACTCGCTTCCTGCCTGTACGAGACCCGCTTCACCGCCTACGCCTACTGTGTCCCGCACAGACTGCACTACAATCCTCGATGGGTTGATGTACGTCCCACCTACACCAACGAACACCGCTCTCCCACCCTCTGTTACTGGGTTAGGCAATTCATACGGAGTGCCCAGTAAACCATTGTGCGCTGGGATATACTCTTTCAGTTTCTCTGTTTACGGCGGACCGGATTCACGCTTTACAGTGGGCGTCTTCAGTAGCACGGACCGATCCAGAAGGTGGTTTGAGGACTCGGTCGTGCTGATGCTTCCTGTGGGAATTTCAGGTGCTTGCGGCCACTTGAACGTTCCAGAGCACAACTCAGCAAATTCTTGGGCCGTAGGCGCCTGGCAGGAAACAGGCGATAAAGATCTTAACATCCAGTATAGTATGGCTCTACAAACGAACGACTCGCTTCCTGCCTGCACGACACCACCTACGCCTACTGTGTCCAGCACATACTGCACTTCAGTCCTCGAGGAGCAGATGTACATCCCACCAATGCCAACGAGCACCGCTTTGCCACCCACGACCATGGAGTTCGGCAATGCTTTCATATGGCCTGGTAATCCTTTGTGCGCTGGGACGTACTCCTTCAGTTTCTTTGTTTTCTGGTATCAACAGGGACCGGATTCACGCGTTACAGTGGGCGTCTTCAGTAGCGTAGACGATACCACGAAGTGGTGGCAGGACTCGGTCATGCTGATGCTTCCTGTGGGAAACTCAGGCGAATGCGGCCACTTGAACTTTCCAGAGCAAAGATCAGCATTCTCTTGGGCCGTAGGTGCCTGGCAGGAAACGGGCTATTCAAATATAGGCATACAGTATAGATTGGCTCTACAGACGAACGACTCGCTTCCTGCCTGTACGAGACCCGTTTCTTCTGTGTCCAGCACAGACCTGACATCCGTCTCATCGCCTACGCCCTCTATGTCCAGCACAGACCTAAATGTGAGCGGACTCGGCGACTCAAAGCTGGCAGCGGTTTCCTGGTTTGACCAACCAGTTTCGATTAGTAAGTCTGCACTAGTGGGCGGAGTAGTTGGCATCGCCGTTGCTGGAGCAGCGATCGCTTTACTTGCCGTAGCCCTCGTTCAGTTTGTAAAGACCAGACATAGAAGAAAAGTGAACGTGGTGAATCTGGAAATGCCACCAGTGGAGCCAACGCCGATTGAGTACGATACAGGTCCCAAAGACAATGTTGGGGGCGACGTTGCTGCCGAGCCACTGTCCGCGGCCCCATCACCAGCTGAACAGCAGAAGAATGAATTGACGGAGGAGAAACTGGAGAATGGGGAGGAGATGGGAACGAGGGCCCCGGAAGTTACGGAGGCAGAGGCGCCTGCAAACACTGTAGAGAACCTTGATTCATCACACATTGCGGAAGAGCCTTAAACCACAAAAATTATATCTCGCCCATTACTTCTTCCAATTTGTTATATTCTTACGAATCCTGGAAATCCCAGATAATCAACCTATTGTTATAGCACTCTCCCAATTGCGCATCTATCAAACTGTTGTAACGACTAATGGAAATCGCCAGGATTGGATAGAGTACTAATCGAGCTAGCACGACAGTCACGAGTGGACCGGCTGCATCTACCCCACATGTCCTTCTTCCAATCATCCTCTATCCGTCATTTTGTTTGTGCCTCCTGTGTTGGCCCCTCCACCAAATGCAGGCGCCATTGCTGTCGAATTCCATCATAGGTGAGAATTTTGGATCCTCATCCTGTTCAGGCGCAGAACCTCCCATTACATACATATAGTAATTTCATGTTTGTAGATCTGCAGCTTTTAGTTATTCTGCTACGAGGGTATGTAGGGGCGGGCTATGCGGTTGCACCGAATGTACCGAACACATGCGTCTATAGCCATTTTGGATAGGTCATTTCATGCCTTGCTGGGATCACGACCTGCGCTCCCAGTCAACCGCCAGAACATGACCCGTCAGACGACATTCTCGTGAGCATGGGAATCGCTTCCTCGGGCATTGATGTTTTTGCTCTTTTGGATTACCACAGATATGGAGGCTGTTGGGCATCCGGTTTAGTGACCGAGCGTCGGTATTGGATCCCTAATTTGTCATCATATTTACTTGGAGAGAGACCATTAAAAGCAGTTCATTGGTAATATTTTTTGGTTCATAAAGAAAATATAAACATGTTTAACCATGTCTTTAATTGTAATACAGTAATGTAGGTAAAGGTGTAATGCTTGAAGGTACGCAATTAATAATTCTTGACCTAAAATTAAGATAAGAAGTAATGAAGGGAAGGTTGGTACAAGTAAAAAAACGCACCTGAAGGTAAGCAACCCAAGATGAAACCAGCACATACTTTAGCGAGACCACCTCTCCCGCAGCGCTCGAGCCCACAGCTCCTTCACTGGGGGATGAGCCATATATTGATCCCAATGAGCCAAACATAATCTGAAGGAGGTACATCTTGCCGATGCGGAATGGCGGACCCGTGCTGGGGATTTTTTGCGGCCCAGCCCAATTATAATGTCCCAAACAAGTCATTCCATTGAAAAGTTATAGAAAATCTAGCAGATCGTCTATTGGGGTATTGCACTACGTTTTAGAGCCCGACGCTTCGGCGACAAGCCGTTTTCACATCCATCACACCTCTTCAGACCAATCCCCGCGATCTGCCAAGGTCTTTTTCAAGAATGGCCTTAAATAAATTAACTCAAAATGATGCACTTCAAATCCCTGTGCATCAGACCTCCACTTTGCACTGGGTTTGGTAAAGCTCTTTGAACCCAAATTCATCACGGCGTGATACATGACGCGCAGATCGATCGTCTCAAAATCACGAATGATGAGTTTGACGTATCTGCAGCCAACAAGGGAATACCCCGGCGTAGACCGACTGGCCTTTGTCGCTGCACACCCCATCAACCGCAACGTTTCCACAGTCCATTGGAGCATGACAAGTGCTCTCACAGCTTCAACCAATACAACATTGTCCCCCACGTGCCCGTCATCCACCGTCGCCTCCACCTCCCCAAACCTCCTCGCATTCTCCACGAGTACCTTTCGCGCCCTCCGATCCCCGACCAACCGCTTCAAGACATCTCCACAAGCCTCTACAACCGTTTTATGCCGTCGCAAGAGAAAATAGTACACTGCACCGCCGTCAATAGGGTCAGGATCGTTTCGGCCAACACTGCTGATACCCCGTCGACATCGGCTCTCAACGTCGATTTCTACCTCTGTGAACGGAACGTGTCCTCGGGAGGTTTTGTAGACTTTGAGGAGGTGCGGGGATATGGTGGTGGGTATGAGGTTGTTGTAAATGTGGGTGGCATTGCTACGGAGGGTTTCTTTAAAGTCTTTACTGGTACAGGAGAGGTCTGCAATACAAGTGAGCGGGAGATGGGAGAGAATGCACAAGAGGCAGTCGATGGGCAGGGTGAGGAGGTTGAGGTGTGTTGTCGACATGGTGGACAGGACTGACGTGCAAGTGGACTCTGCGCGTTCGTCACTAGGTTGGCGTGGCTCATAAGTGGCTTGCATGTCAAAATGTGACCTGTTGAGTAAAACACACTCGATTCACCATCGTTAATTCCGCATCGGGGAATCGAACCCCGGCCGCCGCGGTGAGAGCGCGGAATCCTAACCACTGGACCAATGCGGATTGCTTTTTCAGGGACCAGTCGATAACCATGAATGTTAAAAGCTTAGTGCTAACCCCAATCCCATCAACTCTCGTCATCAGGGCGGGAGGGTGTTTATTATTCATTATGCCCACATATGTCATCGTGTTGACGATCAAAAGGGTTTTACATCTCGACTGCAGAAACTTGTAGAACCTTCTCGACTACTTGCTGTGGATAAACCAACCATTACTTGCCCCGTACGTCAAAAAACTTAGTAAAAAAACAGGTGGAAAAATCCCGAAAAGACACACGGGAGCAAAAATGTGTCACACACGCTGTATCATAGCAACCGTGATTATTTCCGTGACGCATCGCTCCGCGAATGGAGGGGACTTTTTTTATGAGACGAGTTGCTTGCTTCACACCCTTGCTCTTGCGGTACATTCCATCTCATCCCGTCCACTGCATTTCGTCGTTCTTGTGAACCTGCACGAGACTACGAACAATGTACAATCTTTCACGCGCATCCCGTCCCCTTGTCTCCCGTGCCCGGACCGCTGGGGTATGTTATTACTGCTCAGTGTGCAGAGTGATCTAGAGTTTTGGGGGAAGATCGTGATCTCGAACTCATCTCTTTCTTTATGTATTTAGCTTGTCCGTCCTGGTCCGGCACCACTGAGTGCCTTTGCTCGCTACGCCAGCGACAAGGTACAAGGTCAGGTCATCGGTATTGATTTGGGAACCACCAACTCTTGCGTGGCTGGTACGTTACCTTTTTTTCTGCAGCGAGGGTTTTGTTCAAATAAAACTTACCGGATTTTTGATAATCAGTCATGGACGGAAAGACTCCCCGTGTGATCGAGAACGCTGAGGGTGGCCGAACAACTCCCTCTGTTGTCGCCTTCTCAAAGGACGGCGAGTTGATTGTCGGAACCCCTGCCAAGCGTCAAGCTGTCGTCAACCCCGAGAACACCTTGTTTGCCACAAAGCGTTTGATTGGTCGTCGATTTGATGATGCTGAAGTACAAAAGGACATCGCGACAGTTTCATACAAGATCATCAAGCACAGCAATGGTGACGCTTGGGTGGAGGCTCGCGGGAAGAAGTACTCTCCCGCACAGATTGGAGCTTTCATTCTTCAAAAGATGAAGGAGACTGCCGAAAACTTCCTTGGAAAGCCCGCTCAACATGCTGGTAAGTCTCAACATATTTTGTGAAATGAGTTTGACCTTGAAAGCTGATTTTGTTGGCGCCTGCCACATTTAGTTGTCACTGTCCCTGCTTACTTCAACGACGCCCAACGTCAGGCGACAAAGGACGCTGGACAGATTGCTGGTTTGGACGTGAAGCGTGTCATCAACGAGCCCACTGCGGCTGCTTTGGCTTATGGTTTGGAGAAGGCCGGTGACAAGGTTGTCGCCGTGTACGATTTGGGTGGTGGTACATTCGATATCTCCATTCTCGAACTGCAACACGGTGTCTTCGAAGTAAAATCTACCAACGGTGACACTCACCTCGGTGGTGAAGACTTTGACAACACAATGGTCCGTCACATCGTCAACGAATTCAAGAAGGAGCAGGGTATTGATATCTCTGGTGACCGTATGGCCCTTCAACGTATCCGTGAAGCCGCTGAGAAGGCAAAGATTGAATTGTCATCCACTCTTCAAACCGAAATTAACCTTCCCTACATCACCGCCGACGCCACTGGACCCAAGCACATTAACATGAAGCTCACCCGCGCTCAGTTCGAGTCGTTGACCAAGACTTTGATCGACCGCACCATTGAGCCATGCAAAAAGGCTCTTAAGGATGCCGGAGTGACTCCCAACGACATCAACGAAGTTCTCCTTGTTGGTGGTATGTCTCGTATGCCCAAAGTTCAGGAGACCGTCAAGTCCTTGTTCGGCCGTGACCCCTCGAAGAGCGTCAACCCTGATGAGGCCGTTGCTGTCGGTGCCGCTATTCAGGGTGGTGTTTTGTCCGGTGAGGTCGACAAGCTTCTTCTCCTCGATGTTACCCCTCTTTCCCTCGGTATCGAAACACTCGGAGGTGTCTTTACCCGTCTCATCAACCGCAACACCACCATCCCCACCAAAAAGAGCCAGGTCTTCTCTACTGCCGCCGACGGTCAAACCCAGGTCGAAATTAAGGTCTTCCAGGGTGAGCGTGAATTGGTCAAGGACAACAAGCTTCTTGGTCAATTCAACCTCGTTGGTATTCCACCTGCTCCACGTGGTGTTCCTCAAATCGAGGTCACCTTTGACATTGACGCTGACGGTATCGTCAATGTTGGCGCTCGTGACAAGGCCACTGGAAAGGACCAGTCGATGACCATTGCTGCGTCCTCTGGCTTGTCTGACTCTGAGATTGAGAACATGATCAACCAAGCTGAGCAGTTTGCCGAGTCTGACAAGAAGCGTAAGGACGTCATTGAGGCTAGCAACCACGCCGAGTCTATTATCAACGACACTGAGAAGGCCATGAACGAGTTCAAGGATCAATTGGACAAGGCTGAGGCTGACAAGATCCGTAGCCAGATCAAGGACTTGCGGGAGATGCTCGCCAAGGGCCCTGAGGAGAACTCACCTGAAACTATCAAGGAGAAGTACGGTGAACTTCAACAAGCCAGCTTGAAGCTCTTCGAGATGGTCTACAAGCGCCGAACAGCAGAGGGCGAATCAAAGAGCGGCAAGACTGTTGATGCCGAGTACAAGGACGTTGACGATAAGAACAAGTCATCGTAAGATGTCATCAACTTCACTTGTAGGCGGTGATGCAGCATTTCGATGAGAGACCCATTATCCTTATTATATGATGAGGGGTTTCTGTGGGTGGTGAGGTGGGGGTTCTTTTGCATAGAATAGTCTCATGAGTAGCAAGAGAGTAGGATAGCATAATCTTGTGGTGTTGGGGGGATGACGATTCTGGCACGCACTTTTTGTTGATTTTTCTCTTCATTGTAACAATATTATCCTTTTTCGTCTCCGAATTTTTCGCATCGTGTTCTCTTCTGGTGGGCTTACACGCAATCTTGGACCCTGCTTCGCTACCCCAGTGGCAACTCACCTGCCGTTTGCACGATGATAAGCGGATCGCAAAAGGAGTTCAACTTCCCGCCAAGGGTGGATCAGGAGTATCATGTTTTCTGCAACAATTGCCCGCCAAGTGTACCTTGTCTGCCCCTGGAATATATGTAAATAAAGTGTATTTTGGAGCACGTTCTGTAGGACGCGGCAAGACACAAATGCTGTAGCCCTCCTAGTCAGGGCATATCATTGAGCGGAAGAGGAAATATCGCTATTACGTGACAACTGCGCCATGCTTTGTCATCATACAATGGGAACTGCGCCTCGTCACGGACGCCAGCCAAAGTGACGTGTTCGCAAAAGGTGACTTTACGGACAAAAATAACACAAGAGCGTTCGCACCGCTGTTTTTAGATTTTGCGGACATCCGAGACACGATTCGCTAGGAAGATTGTTGGGATAGGACCTGAGGTCGTCTTTCTGTGTGGCGTGGAGAGGTTTTCTTTGTAACCAGCGTTAAGAAGTTCCTGAAGTTGCCCTAAACCGAGCAATCTAAATCGAAACTTTTGAACATTATTGTTTTCCGTAACGACGTGCAGCTCTCTCTCTCTCTCTCTCTTTTCGTGGCCAAAGTCTTCTCCTCCTATTACTACTGGGCTGCATCATTAGCGCGCAGTTGATTCTACCTTCCCGTCCTGTCTTTCTTTGCAACGGCCCAACACCCCACACAGCAGCACAATGTCAATCGTCTTTTACAAGTTCAAGTCCGCCAAGGATTATGATACATGCACTTTTGATGGGACCAACATATCGGTGTTTGACCTCAAGCGGGAGATCATGCAGGCGAAGAAATTGGGCAAAGGCACGGATTTCGATTTGATGATTTACAATGCTCAGACAAATGAGGGTGAGTTTCTGTCCTGCTGTTTTGGTGATGGATGGATCTAGTAGGAGAATGGTGTGAAGACTTGTTTTTTGTGGAAGATGGATCCTGGATTGGAAGAGTGGGGAAACCGGTGGGGTGTGGAGAGGTGTTTGGCGAAAAGGGACCCGTTGGAGTTTCTTTTTTTCTTAGATGCGGATTGCGCTTCCTTTCCGCTTGACTAGTTCGTCGTTTGTATTGTCTTGCGGTCGACTGTGTCGGCCGAGCGCTGTGCGTTTTTTCCCCATCTTACCCTATTTTGCTATGAATGAAAAAAAATGATAATAAAGAACAACAAAAAAAAAGATTATAAAAAAAAAGAAAATGACATTGATTTTATTTATATCTGCCGCTTTGTTTTTCTTGAGAGAGGGAATGGAGTGTTGGGGGGAGAGTTCCTAGAATGTTGTACTTGGAGATGGGAGGATTGGTAGTTGTTGAGTAGCCTTGTTGCCTCCGCTGTATAGTTAAGTCGCGACATTATCTGTATATTGTCCGTGTTGACTGATCAATGCCGGATCCTCTCCGGTCCTTTCCTTCCTTTCTGCCTCTCTTCTACAGAATACAAGGATGACATGTACATGATTCCTCGAAACACTTCCGTACTAGTCTCTCGTCATCCGGCATCTAAACCTGGCAAAGGCACCGCACAAAGGTATTTGACGACAGCTATGCCGACTGGAGCTATGTTGGCGGGCTCGTGGTCTCGAGGTGCTCCGCAAGCTGCTACCTCTTTGCCCAAGCATCACTCTTTGAACAATCGGCTTCCACAGTACGTCTCATTGCTTTGTTTATAATCAGCGGGAAGATGTGTCGACTTTGAGATTTTAATACAGTTTGTAATGTGTTTACCCAAAGGCAGCGACCGCCAACCTCGACGGATACTCCCGCAACTGAAATCACAGGAGAAACAGAAGAAGAACGTATCGCAAACATGTTCAAGTTGCAAACAGAACAATGGGCCGTTGCGCAGGATAAGATGGCTCAGTACGTAGATACTTATATCTAGATACCTTGCCGTTTTTTCAGCTTAATTAACAATAACATGCCTGTTTTTATTTTAGACAAAAGCCAATACCTCGTCAATATCACGGCGCCGGACGCGGTGGATGGCGTGGAGGCCATCATAACGGTGGTGATCGCAATCAGGCAGGCGGAGAGGGTGGTGGGTGGCAACAGAGGGAATATCCTCAGCGAGCACCACCACCAGGATATATCTGTTATCGTTGTGGTCAAAAAGGTAAGAAGACTAACGACAGCAGAATATAATCCCTTGAAAAAGTATTCTGATGCCAATTCTTTTCGTTTCGCTAGGTCATTTCATCAATCAATGTCCCACGATCGGCGATAAAGACTTTGACCGACCGAAATTGAAGCGTACCACTGGTATTCCGAAGATTTTTCTAAAGGTTGTCGATGATAAGCAAGCTGCAGGAGGAGGAGTAATGGTTACTCAAAACGGGGAGTTGGTCGTAGCTCAACCGAACGAGTAAGAAAAAATGATCAAATAATACCAGTCAGGTACATAGTACTAACATATTCCTCAATGACAGGCAAGCCTGGGCGAACATGGCGGCTCGAACGCGGAATTATCTGGGTGCGGGGGATGTACACGAAATGGCGCCTGTCCCTAGCGAACTGGCTTGTCCTCTTTGTACCAAGTTGCTACGGGATGCGGTGTTGATACCTTGTTGTGGAACCAGTTATTGTGATGAATGTAAGTTCATATCCTTTATATCCGTAAAACTGACTAGTCAGTTTTGAACCGCTGTCTTACCAACTTTTTCTGTGAATGCCAGGTATACGCGCACACCTGCTAGACAACGAAGATCCGGAACAAAGACTCAAGTGTCCCAACTGCGGTTCAGATCAGTCTCCAGATAATTTGGTTCCCAATAAATCGCTGCGTCAAGCTGTTGAGCATCATATTCGGGATTTTGCCGCGAAGAAGGCTGGTGGTCCTCCGTCTCCGGTCCCTGCGAATGCTACTGCGGCATCTGTGAATGCCCAACCTGCTGAAGACGCGGCGTCTGCGACACCTACTGTCAATGGGACAGCATCTGCAGCTCCCCCAACACAAACAACTACAGTGGCACCACCATCCACTGCCCCGATAGTACCCGCTATAAACAGACCGCCTACGACGGCGAAACCCTACAAAATTATCAAACCTACCAATGCTACGCCCGCAACTACCACTTCTAACCCTACTCCACCCGTCCCCAATGCTGCGCCGATCGAGGTAGAATCGTCGGATCGGAAGCCAACGATAACACCAATACGGAAGATTTCCGACTCTAGCACTCCCACTGTATCCGCGCGACCGGGTCTCAAAAGAGGTCCGGATGAGGCTGGTGTGAATGGGGAGATGGAGGTACGTGACCCTGGTTAGGCAATCCTTGTATTAATATGGCGATTTAGCGTAATTCTTTCGTATGCAGGATCAGTACACCCCGGACGGAACTGACATGAACAACCGTCGAGTCCGTCGCGGCTCCCTCACACATCGGTATCAAGACTTTGAAGAATACCCACCACACATGATGGTACCTGATTTTGATCCAAGATGGGGAGGGCCGGGCCCTATGATGCCTCCACCTCCTCCCTATGGAAGATTCTGGGATGGACCTCCACACATGTTTCCTCCGCCGCCACACCGACGGGGTGGGTACGGGATGCCTCCACCGGACATGTTTGGCGGACCGATGGGGATGGGCATGGGTATGGGAATGGGAATGGAGATGGGTATGCCCCCCGTGGATGGATGGCGAGGTGAAATGGGTGGACGAGACTAGTAAGTTTTCTATTTCCAGGATGCCGTTACCATGCGCAATTCTCTAGGTTCTAATTGTTTGAATTTGGCTATTCCCAGTCCTCGAGACCGTGGTTATTACCCCCCAGGCCCTGGATCGTCCGGTGGACGAATGGCAGTAAAGCGCCCACGAAATCAATCTGACGTTATCGATGTCACATCCAAGCATTCTAGTTAAATATCTGCATTATTGGGTTACATGCAAGGGGGGCGATCAACAGTCTGTCTGCTTTTGGCTGGAGAGGCAGATATATTGGACACATTTATATTGGGCTTATTTGTGCATTTCCTCTTCTCTAGCTTTTAATAATACATCATGGTATGCCTTCACGTACGGCAAGGTTATTTTGCACTGCTGGTGTAGTTTGCTTTTATTCTTCCGATTGAAGCATAACATGGGCCGATGCGTGCGTGCTCCCGCCCGTAGCAGTAGCAGTCGAAATTGAGACAGGTGCACTCGGCAGTCTCAGAAAGTTTTAATTAGGCAAACTGCGTAAAGATATTCGTAACATCAAAGAATATATAAAGGTTTACAGGTTAAATGATCCCACATCCCATCATCACAACTCCATCCTACAAATCAGCATACTTTTCTCACTACGTTTACCCGCTAAATGAGCATGTCTGCTGTAGCTCACATAACCCTTGTAGCTGCATCTGGATAGTACCACTGTATCTAGAGGGGTGGATCATATATTGCAGCATCTGAATTCTTTATCACCCAAGATTTCATGGTTGTGGTGGAGCCACAGATGCCAGTCCGAGGTGGTGCTGACATAATCCTTCCGACGTCCTCCAGCTGTCCTGCTTCTCCGGATTTTCACTGTTGCAGACAGACCTTCTTCCACATCCCCTGACGCCGGATCAGTCGCGTAAAGAGGGCATGTTCTTCAAGATCAAACCTCGGATGAAATGAATCCCTTATTTCCCCTGTGGCATGAAGGCATACGATGAATGAAAGCGTGGATATGATGGCCAAAAAGGACTTGATCAACAATGGTAAAGTCCCTGATGCTCGATCAAATTGGTCGACATTGCTGAATCCTTTCCTTCAAACCCTCATTCAGCGCAGTCGCACCACATGATAAAGGGTGCTGCTACGATGGTCTACCAAGCCTTATCCACCACAAACAAAAAGCCACTCAGCGATAGGTGGAACACTTCACGTTGCCACTATTCCACGTAGCACTTAAAAAGCTGATATAACTTCTCGAAAAGCTGTCCCATCTCTTGTCTTCTCTCCATTTTCTCGATTTTCATCGATTATTTCCACAAAGAAAAAAAAAATGATCCCTCTTGGCCGTTCAATTCCAAATATCACAGGCCCAACTGGCACTCCGTCCGGCGACAGCGCACAACTATCAAATCAGACGGCGCAGGAATATAATTTCCAGCGCCGTCGGTCTTCTTTGGATGTAAGCTTTTGTCACTTGTCGCTTCTTACCATCTTTTCCAGTCTAATGGATGTTATTTATCTGAGTAGGCCATTATGGGTCATCTAAAATACGTTGGTCAGTTTCCTGGCCGAGTCCTCCAAGATCTGTCCCAGCCTTTGTCGGCCGCTCCACGTCCAATAGGCCAAAACTTTCCTCCTCAGCTGAACTCTCAGACATCATTGACGTCGTTGGGAGGCTCAATGGCGGATTTGGGTGCCTCAACAAACACCCAGGCACCTGCTAATACGACTGGAGCCGGAAAGCTGGCCAATGCTGAAGCTTTTTTGTCGGGAGTCTGAAAGCTTACTCTTACGCAGTCTAAATAGGACATATTTAGTCGGAGAGCTAGGAATTCCCTCTTGTACGTAGGCTTGGGGTTATGTAAAAATGTTGTACATCTGGCCCCAAGCCTTCGCTTCGTGCCAATCTCCCCGTTAAATCACATTTGACTAGGTATAGTCCGCATGTGTAGTCCGCATGCAAAGTTATTGAGACACCAAACATGATAATCAATAAATGCTTTCCTAAACACTGCCAGACTACCAAAACCGCATATAAATGTCTTATTTTACAATGGTATTTCCTCTGAGTCCCCAAACCACACGCTCATCCGCCGCATCACCAAAATTGCTAATAGGAAGAGGACCAGCCCCAACAGTTGATCAATCTGGCGTACTTGTTGTTGCAGCTGAGGAAGAGTATTGGGAATACCGGGCTGAGCCGCTCTTCGGTCAGCCAAACCTCTCGTCACTGCGCTAGGACGCCTGCGCATGCTCGTTGAGTTTTGTGAAGCTGAACTAGTCGATCCCGTAGCTGCAGGACTTGAATGCGAGGCTGCTTGTACCTGTGCCTGCGATCGTGCGGTAGCTAACTTTGTCTCCTGATCAGACGTCGGTGATCGTTCTGACGACTTCGGCAACTCGTCGACGCTGGCATGTGATTGGTTATCTTCCCCCGTATTTGCACGATCTACTAGAGGTTCCTCTACCGTTTCCCTTGCTGATTCCGTCGACTGGGCCCCTGCAGCATTCTTTCCTGTATCCGCTGTAGTGAAGGATATATCGGGATCAGCTTGCAGCCGTTCACTGGGAGCATCGGCTTCATCCGGTAGAGCTTCCGAATTTTTCACGCCACATGATGGGCATATCCACTCCCTACTTTTTGTCGCATACGCCTTGCGCTCCTCTTCCGTATAGTCCAACGCACCAATTGCTCCATCTCCTTTCGTGGGGAGAAAGGATATGAGAGCAACTAGTGCTGTCCGAACTCCCCATGCTGGACGCCAATACTCTGGATGATGGCCAGTAATTGAAAGACATATCTTTTTCCCGACCTCAAAGCGACCGTTTGGAGTTAGGAAAGAGATGTTTGGGGGCTGGATATTGCAAGGGATAAGCCATCACGTCTGCTAAACTCGGACATGTCCAGAATGCAGCATCTACCTTAAATGGATAGTCAGATGGGAAAATGAGCCTTCCATGAAACCTTCCACCTTCAAATCCTCCCTCAGCTGGACCGCGAATGGTGAAGTGCCTAAGCGGGGATATGAATCAAGAATGCGTCAGTGGCTTCTTAGTCAGACATGAATTAAAAAGTCACACAATAACCATTCAAATAGATTTTCTTCTAGTGGGGCAGCCGTAAACTCCGGAGAAGGGTCGTTTCGCAGTTCAGCCAACTCCTTCATGAGGCGCTTGACTGCAGAACTTCGAGAGGTTGTCGCCATTATGCTCCCGTGCTTTGAGGTATATAACAGCGGAACAGTGCAAGGTGCAACGCTACTAGGTAGTGTCGTAGCGTACGAAGGTGTATCAGCAAGGCGAAGAAGACAGTATGGTAAACAAACCCGTAGGTAGAAGAGTGTGCTGTTGAACTGGATGGCGGGGTACGGAGCCTGGTAAGGAGGTTAATGTCAGACCACGTGACGCTTAGTTGCGTGACATCTTGCATCTTTAGTTTGCTGCATGAACCATCACCATTTGCACCATCCAATGCACTTTTACCCTCGTATCCTAGTCAGATCTCATAAGGAGCGTTTTCTACAGATATACCCGTGGTCGATATGTCGACCTCCCACTGGAGTATCGCGTCTCCACAGTTCATGCACCGTCCAGCCAAACACTCCCTTTGTAGCCGCTGAGGACGTTCGACGAGCTCGCAAGCCATACAATTTTGGGCGCTATAATAAGCGCCGTGTAGCTTTCCGAGTGGCTTACATTGGATGGGACTACCATGGGTTTGCTCGCCAAAAGTTAACCACACGCACCGTCGAAGAGCGAATCTTTGATGCATTACTCGAAACCAAACTCATCGATAGCACAAGAAATTGTCATTGGAGTAGGTCGGTGCGGTGGACATTATGTTGTCGTAATGTATTTCATATGTGTTTCCTAAAGTACCCATGGAACCAGATCTGCGCGCACCGATACAGGAGTGAGCAGTGTGGGTTCTGTTGTAGCGCTAGATGTCCGCTCCCGACTTCCAGTTTCTCGAGGTAATGTGCCTTGGCAGACATCAAGACATGATGCGATCAATGCAGATGTGGAGCCCATTAATGATCAATCATCGCATCTGGTAGCGGGAGAGCTACCGTATGTAATCATGCTCAACAAGGTGCTTCCATCAGATATCCGCATCCTGGCATGGGCACCAGTACCTCCTACATTTGACGCCAGATACGACTGCCTTCATCGCACATATAAATACCTGTTCGATCCGTCGGGACTTGACACTACTAAAATGCAGCGAGCAGCCTCGCAATTTGTCGGCGTCCATGATTTTCGCAATTTCTGCAAGTTTGCAAAGGGTAAGCCACTGGCGGCCTATCGACGAGCTATTGACCTGGTATCGGTCAATCGGCTAACGGATATAGAAGACCGCGCTTTCGAGAGCAACATCCTAGCAGGTCGGCTGTATTGCGTCACTATAAGGGCGCGTGCTTTTCTCTGGCATCAAATTCGCTGTATGATGACCATACTCTTCCTTATTGGACGTGGGTTGGAGGACGAATCCATTGTGGGTAAATTGTTAAATGTGGAACCCTCTGTAGGAAAACCAATGTACGGATTGGCAGATGAGACATCGCTTATATTAGCGGACTGTGCATACAGTGACATTGCATGGTATGATGCCTCCGCATCTTCATTGGGGCCAGCTGGGAGTCTCGACAATATGTCACAAAGAAAATCTGCTGATGCATGGCTTCTCTCGCAGCTGAGACTGGAGGAACGAAAAGCGGCCTTAAAGGGATTTATGATAAGAAGCATGCTAGAAACAGTCGGCCATAGTATAGATACGAGCCTAATAGGCAGGGATGATTATTTAAGAGATGATAGAAGGTTCGGGGGAGGCATCAGCGCGTACACTAAAATCATGGAAAGAAAGCGGCTAGAGCCTATCGAAAGTCGAATGGCTATCAGATAAACTATTCGTCAATATAAATAAAAGACATTACACGAAATGGTACATATGATACATCAAGCTCTATTTCAAGACATAACTATGAACAGGAATCAGCAAAACTATCGCAGTGTATTGTCCAACTATTGTGTTGTACATCAGTATTTGTTGCTGTCAACGATATGTCGAAATCTTTGGAGGAGCAAGAGCGGCTTAATACGCCGCAGCCATCCTGTTCCGAACCCTGAGTCGAGGCGCTTTCTACTTTCGCTTACTTAAAGCCATCGACGGTAGACGGCTAGAGGAGCCGGCGCTACTTTTTTCCTTTGATTCCTTTGGGTTTGTTGACTTTGCCTTTCTAGACCGTGAGACGCTCGCCGTGATCGTCGTGGTAGATGTGGTGACTAGTTTGCCGCAGTATGAGTGGCATCGCTTTACAAAACTGACTCGTACTGCCTACCTGTTTTGGATCTCGTTAAGGCAAAGTGTGGTGATATGGTCGTTTGGCCAGCGGAATTTGAAAGGGCAATGCGATGGCGTCGTGTGATGTCCAGAAATTTCTGGCCCCATCGCATCCACTTTGCATCGTTCACCTTGGGTATGTCGAGGAAATCGCGAATGGATTCGGGCAACCTTTTAGCCTGTAGAATGGCATCATGAACTGAGCTCAGGTGCCTGCGGTAAATGTCTAGATTTACCATATGTTGCAATGTACTATCAGCAAAAATCTCTGCTGCCTCCAAGCTCTCCGAGGCGGCTAACTGAAATGGATCATAATCAGTCGGGATACAGTAGTCATAGCAGCCTCGGACAGGCTCAGGTGAGACCTACATCGGCGCGGAGGGCCTTGAGCTCTTCTAGACATTGCTGATGAGGATCTGGTGCGGATTCACTTTTGGATTTCTTTTTGCGCGATCCTGCCTTGGACAAGGGAGAAGGCTCACTGGGTCCCTCGTCTTCAGTCGAAATAAAGTGAATTGCCTGCGTTCCTGAGCGGAACTTGGAAGCATTTTTTCCTACCTGACGACATGCAGTTATTAGTGCGTAAGAAAATCAAAATGGGGAGGACGTGTTGTTTTGCTTACTCTTGCGTAGGCCAAAGTGAATCCCTGTCCATTTGTCTCTAAATGCTCTGTAAGGATTTGTTGGATCACAAGCATATGGAAAAGTCGTTCCATTTCCTGCTTCTTATAAGAACTGCCTTTGAGATTAGAGTGGAAGATATGTCAATGTTGATGAATTGCGCAAGTGCACAAGTACGGGTGCGTGCTACCTTTCCCATACATGGGCAGCCTATCGTGCTGACGCTCCAAGATTTTCGCATGTTTCATCCCACGATAGACATCCATACAATGGTTAATGGTAATTTTCTCGTTTTGAATTGACCAGACTGTATCATGGGAGCTGTCAATTTTAATAATGTACCACAGCACCGTAAACTAGCTTGAAACCTACCCAACTCTATAATATTTTTAACATCTTCTCGGACATCTTTGGTTATTGACTTCACGTTTATCCGACAGTTATCACAAGTCCGATGGCAGTTTGCCTTGTCGAATCTCTCCCCAAAGTACTGTGACGATTTCGTCGTTCATCATTTTCTGTCAGCACATCAAAGGGATTCATCTTCGTACTCACCGCTAATACATGTTGTCTACGGCAATCGATCTTATTCTCGCAATACGATATCATCAGTCTCAGATTGTTTCTTTGCCTCTGTCCACCATATGAGAGTTAAATGCTGCACTGTCGTTCGTCTAGCCAGGTCATAAAATAATCCTAACCTCCTTCTGCAATGCGCTTCCTTCCCCCCTTTCGATCAAATGTTCGATCTGCAACGGGAAATATGAGATTTGTGCCTCAGAAAGGCAACATGAACTAGGAACAAACCGTGTGTTTATCTCTGTAACAATAGTATAATATGCACATAGACTCCTTCCCGTCTCGCCCAGCTCGACCGGTTTCCTATACAAGGATTGGCCACACTTATACAAACCGGTTTATACGCAGTTGTGCAGCTTACCTGATAGTACCCTTCTAAACTCTGCGGTAAACTGTAATGGATGACAAACCTCACATCCGCTTTGTCAATTCCTTTCAGAGATGGCGTAAGCCTCGATTAACTCGGCGTTGTATAGTAGAGTATCATACCCATCCCAAAAGCAACAGTTGCGACAATGATGTCAATGAAGCCTTCCGCCCATTCCTTCTGTATCCGAATCCTATCATCCTTATCCAATCCGGCATGGTAAAAACCAATGGGTAATCCCTTACGCTGTTTAAAGTAACATTAGTGGAAGCTTTACAAGAGGGTCACTGAAATCTTACCTTCAGCTTATCGGTCAATTCCTCGCATGCACGGCGAGATCCGCAATAAATGATACCAGATTCCCGCGGATAATGTGTTTCAATCAGTGCCACTATGTCGTCAATGACAGACTTCTCTTTCTTTCTGACTTCATATCTACATTGCAACAATTGTCAATCATCGAGTAATATATCCGCGAATGATAATGGAAGCACACCTGAGGTTCGGTCTGTTGAAACTTGACACAAATTTTTCGCATTGTCTCATTTCGAGACAATCCATAATATCCACTGAGAAAGGCCACGCGTAATGCTCAGTTGGGGTTATCATATAACAACAATCAGTCATACGTACTCTTGACCTTCTCATTGGCAGTAGCGGTTAACGCCATTATCGGAATTCCAGGGTATTTCGTCCTCAAACTACCCAGTTGCTGGTTTGCGGATTCGCAGATTCAATCAGGTAGATGCTCTCAAATCTTGCAGACCAACCGGGAGCCCACCTTGTAGTCGGGCCGAAAATCGTGACCCCATTGACTTACGCAATGTGCTTCATCAATCACGAATCTATAGCAGTTTACTTAGGTGGTTCCTATCCAATTGCTTCGGAGACGTTTGCTTCGTTGTACCTAGCCAATTTCTTTCTGGAATGCAAACTACGTAGCGCATCCTGGAACTTGGGACTATTCATGATCATCTCTGGCGTGACGTAAATGAGCTTGGTTCTCGGCGTTGCGCTGTATATCTCTGGGAAGGGCTGATTGTCAGAGATATGCATCATGCATTTTCAGCATACAGCAAATCAGTTACCGGAGAATGCCCAATTTCGCTGCTCAGCAGTCTGACTTCCCGTCAATGAAATGGTATGAACACCCAGGCTGACCAAACGGCTGACTTGATCGTGAATCAGGGATAGAAGAGGCGAAACAACTAGCTGAAAAATGACGGTCGTCACACATTGTGAAATTATATAAATGAAAGACCTACAATCAAATGGTATACTTACCGTAATCCCGTTAGTTACGCCACTTGGCACACATGCAGGTAGCTACACAAGCAGAACCTGTTAAGCAGACTTGGCCAACCTTCACTGGTGAGTTGATCACACTACCTGATAACAGAGACTTTTTCCACCCCCGGTGGGCTAATCAGGATACGAAAAATTGTCAGCCAGCAACCAGCAAAGCTGCATACGAAGGAAATGTACCATTAGAACAAAGCAGTCCTTTCCCGAAAGGGTTGCATTGATCGCTTCAAGCTGATTTTGCCGGAATTCCTTCAGCTTGAAGATTTGAAGTAAAGCCTTCCGGACATCTCTTGACCATGGATGTTGGTACTCGGGTCTGCAGTATATGGAGTCCGCTGCAGCCGGAAAATAGAAAATGTAAGACCAGGTTGTCTCGAATCTTGGACCACCGCAGCTTACCCCCGGAGGTGACGGAAGGAGATCCAGACTGACTACAATTTGATTTCGGCTTGGGTTTAGGTGTTCCACCCGAGGGAGTCGTAGAATCGGTGCTTGCGAAGGGAGCCTGGAAAGAGGCAGGGGTATCAACCCTTGTGTTCTTTAGGCTGGGGCTTTGCTGATGGATAGCTGATGGTAAGCTGTTTTGCGGAGGAGGCGCCGACCATGTGCTGATCCTATGCGGACGCACTGGAACAGGCGTTTCCACCGCTGATAATACGTCCTCTGAGAAGACCGCTCTGTTGTTTATATCACAATTTTCATTTCCGCCATTTCGTAATGAAGGATGCGGCTCGCTGGAGGATGTCACAGTTGGAAACCTCTATGCGTTCACATATTTCCATGTCATCAGAACATAATGAGATCGGTGTAAACAGCGGAGGAGTTACCTTTATGCGAAGGGCTTCATCAATGCTTTCCAGTGCCTTGGCCTTTTCCATGCTATACATGGCGATCTAATTAGATCATGCACCGCTGGTGCGTAACCACCAGCCTATGTTAAAGACTCACCGCTCTTGCTGCAATGCACGTATACGTGTTTGAATGGATGTGCCAGTATCTGACATGGCCATCAAGTCGCAGAGCTCATCGGATATTATTCTTTTTTGTTCCAGCAGACTATCTCGTTTTACTTTCAACTCACTCTCTGAGAGCTGCAGTGGAATATTGATCAGCTTTTGCTATGGTAAGCGGCGTCAATGAAACGTACTGATGCCAAGGCTCTGTCTGGCGATCTACCAATCGAAATTGGTTTCAAACAAGTCCCAGAAGCTGGTCCGATCCACAAGGTTGTGTCTGCATCACAACTTGGCAATTCGCTCGCGTTCGAAATGAGAGGCGGAGAATCGTAGTCATCCTACGTAGTCCGGTGAATTTGGGAGACAATCTCGTCGCCAACATGAGCACTCACCTCCAAAGCGTTCATCAAATCATCATCGAAGAAGGCATCAAACTGTTCAAGGGTCGAGTCTTGATATTTCATGTGATCAGGTGAGTACCATCCGTAGCTGATTGACAAAGCATGAGGCCCGCACCAGCTTCCAAGTAACCTAGATCCAGTTCTGGCACGCGGATCTCAATTTTCGGTCGCTTTCGCGTCGGATCGCACGGTTGAGGAAGAGCAAGCTCGTTATCAGTAATCGGAGCAATACCTATAGTGGATGTCAAACTCATTGAAAGGATGGTCTATCGCGGTTTTCACTATTAATCTACGACGTACCATTCGTATCTGGTTCCGCGGTGAACGTGTCCGACTTTCGCTTGGTTATCCGCCAGTGGTTTTCTTCTCGTACTGTTACAGCACTGGTTTCGCGGCTTACATCCAAATTGTTGTCTCTGGCAACCAGGGCAGTTCCCTGCTTTACCGTGCCCTCCATGCCCATGGGCCTATGTGGGGTTCGAAAGGTTAGCCAGGTGTTCAAAAGTCTTGTAAATGCTATATATAACCTTGCAAGCCCGCCGCTTGACGTTTCCGCAAGACGACCTTCGCTCCAATTCGGTAACTCATTTTCTCTGTGCTGATCACCGGTAAACGGTTTGAAATTGGCGGGACGAAACTGTGGGACTGCTGGACGGGTAAATGTTGCCGTGGACCGTTCGCAGCTCTTCGGCACGGTTTGAACATTACTCTCTTTGCTCCCTATCCCGCGACTTGTACGTAGCCATTCGAGCTGCTGCTTCAAGTTATTTATAGGTATCTTGGTCATTGCAATTGCAGAGAGTGTGATCCTGGTCTTCAAGAGCGTAGTTTGGAAAGTGCCCATTAAACCATATTTGGCAGCATACGTAATCAAGAAGATGTCCAGGAGGATAGCCATTCCAACGCATCATCTTGTGGGGTACTGCTGCGTTACGGGGTACGTCTAATAAATGATGACACCTCGCTGACGAGCCTAATGCTGTTTTTTCTTTGTGGATTCGTCACTATCAAATTACAGAGATTCTATGTATTCGTCGTGCACTTGAAGCAAATTTAAGAAACGAAGGTGGGAGCATTCTCTCAGTCTAACAGAAAATCGGGATCCCGCACTTGCATCCCGTCTACCTGAACTGTCCATGCCATCTACCGGTCACCTAGAAGTACGGAATGGTGTTCTACATCGACCAATATTACGTCCCTCTGGGCGGCGTCTGGGTCGTGAGGAGTTCAGAGTTTACGCTTCTCAATTTCCTCTCTTCCCATCGTCGGTGATGGTCTACTGAGCTTGTACAGATACCTTTTAGTATAGCGGTTACAATCCAGGAAAGGTGTTAGTTTGATTTCCTTATGACTACTCTGGTCGTTAAGTTGATCCTGTTCATGACCTCCCAAGAATGTCACAAAACCATATCGGGCAATTTTACGTAAGCTAATTAGATGCCTTGAATTGCTCTGGTACAAGTCTCACCCAGCTCACGACTGTCCTTTAACCGCAAATATGTCCCGCTTTGTGGAAGCCTTTAGCGTGAGTTCATAGGCATGCTGCATGTGTCGGAGCGGTTCTTAATGTACTCTCCTGCTTTCATGAACAGTTTGAAAAGCCCAAAGAATCGTTCGATATCGTTTTGAAACGGCTCAAGCGTGGTCAGGTATTGGACGATGAAGTTGCCAACTATTTCAAAGAGCGGTGAGACGTCGACTTTCAATCTCTCACTCATGTGGTTATGAGAGCCTCTCTAACTATGTGGGGTTAACAGAGCTATACTGGAGGAGAAATATGCTCATGACCTTATGAGATTATCCAAAAAGCATTCGTTGAGCGGAGACAAGGACTTTGTTGGGTGAGAAACTGGAGAGAAGATATTATCGCTTGACATGTCACTCAAGCTGAAGTTCTGTATAGCGCGTTCAGTGAAGTGTGGGATCAGCTTCTGGGAGCAACGAATGAGCTTGCCGGTCTTCACATGGTTTATGCTAAAGAAGTTGTGGAGACGCTTGAAAGACCTGTGCGCGGTAGAAGTCACACGGATACAGATTGGAGTAAACTAAAACAGGTAGAGGCCGTTTTGCACTGGTGACCGCGCCTTTTTCGCTAATGACCATGCCATCCATCGATGCAGTACGAAGCTGATTTCGGAAGAAGTACAAAGGATTATGATGAAAAAGTTATAAAACATCTGAAGGTGAGCTCTGGCTCTGCGCCAAAACATATAGGCGTGATTTCTAACCTTGCGTAGGCAGTCGCCAAGGCAAAGAAGAAAAATGGTTCCGATAAACTTGGTGAGTGCATACATCAACGGGGAGCATCGGTGGACGATGCTGACGAATCGTATCCTACAGACAAGAAGGTAACCGATGCACTTGCTGCACTGGAAGCAGCGAAGGATCAGTGGGTTCCACAGGCTATCCAATCATTCGAGGTAGGCCGCAGGACATCATCCGCCGCTGGTAAATTGTGTCCTTATGTCGGCTCTCTCTACTTTCCCCATCTTGTAGAGATTTCAACTCATGGATGAGGGCCGCCTCACCTTCTTGAAAGAGATCATTTCAAAATCGGCAGATCTTGATGCAAGGCATGGTGGTGCACGAACTGCGGTGCGTAGTATGAACCTTGGCAATACCCACGAGCGCGGGCTGATTTTTCATATTGAAACTGTAAAGATTTCTGATGGAATTCTCGCCTCCGCAATGTCATTTGATGTGGCGAACGACACCGCTAATTTTTGTTCGTTGAAAGGCAACAAAACTGGTGACGGTAGGGTCTTGCTGATCTATTGCACGCAAGCTGCCAGAAACGGTTTTTTTGACAGTAATCTCGCCATTTAGATGTCGGTTATCAGTATACAGTCAATGATGTCAGCAGTTCGACGGCGTAAGGATGTGACTGTGGTTTTGACCAAGTAGACGTTGATGCTGATTATGTTTCGCTAGTACGTCACGCAAGAACTCGGTCGTAATTCCCCCAGAACGCGCTTCGGTCGCTTCCAGTGCAATGGCGACAAGCCAGGTGAGCCTGGTTTCTTTCTATCCTGGCGTCAATGCTCGTTACAATAGTAATCGTCAAAGCAGAAACCCAACGTTGATGAGGAGGGTTACACAATTCCACCTCCACAACCAAATGTCCCGTGGGATGCGCCGGCCGCATCTGCTCTAGATGAGGAAGACGACACAAGCAGGTATGCAGTAGTGACTGGCACGGGCATTGACGGACAGGACTAACGACACTTTTCAGTGCGACAGGCAATCAGCGAATTAAGGTCGACATCCGGAAGGAAGCTATTGTAGAGAATCCCGATGAAGCGACCAGAATTTTGAGGCAATTTCAAGGCGCATTGCCTTCTACCATTAACCGTTCATCCAAGAGAATGTACATCCACTGTCATTTTTCGAAACCTGTACTGTACGTCATCTCATAGAGAATTCTCAGGTCTAGGCGTATGTCGCTGTCTGATGCTGGACAACAGACGCAGACAACACCAGGTTCGATGGAATCTGCTGATATGGTCCGAAAGCGCATGACAATACACATGGGACCATCGAATGGAATCCTTTTGGGTGGATCCGACGAGGTGCCTAGCCTACCCACCATGCCGACGCTGCAACCGACGAAAATTTCCAACTCAGCTCTGGCTTCTGGGAGTGTAACACCGGCTGCAAATACTTTACCCGTTCCTATCGCTGCATCCATGGTCGAGACGCTGAATGTTCTGATAAAAGGAAACGCCGTGGAAAGATTGTTACTGATGGGCGAAGTCTCTCTTTCACTGCCGAGGGCCACTGCTGATGTTGCGAGCAACAGCGGCAGCTTCGTGTTAGGAATTGAAAATTACGATCAATTAGCACAAGTGGTGCTGAACGAAACTTTTGCACGAGTTACAGATCCTTCAAAACCCAACGAAGTCACCCTAGACCTTGGTGCGCTACGACAATCCGCGACCTCATTAGTACCTATTTTGAAATATCAAGTCCGGATTGATGATCCATCCGAATTCACTCCATTGTATGTGCATCCAGTATGGAAGTGCGATGCTACGCAAACGTCGCTTCTATTAGCGTATCAAAGGAATCCTTCCGTTCGCTCTAATATTCCGCTATCGGATGTTTCCTTCCTGGTTCATGTTGAGGGTGGTGGGGAGATTGGACAAGTTCAGATGAAACCTACTGGACTGTGGAATTCTGACCGTAAAGCCATATTATGGAAAGTAGGAAGCATTGAGGGTACTGTCGATAACGATACCGCCACCCCTGAACCGAGCAAGATTCTTGCCCGCCTCGAAACGACAGAACCTTGTCAACCAGGAACAGTAATTGTTCGCTTCACGAGCAATTCGCGCCTTCTTTCCGCGTGCAATTTGACCGTCGTCTCAAAAGACAGTGCGCAACCTGTTGTGGAGTTGAAGGACATATCGCGATCTGTCGTTGCTGGGAAGTACGGAGCCGCATGACCCCAGATGGGTTAAGCTTTTGGCATGAAAATTATTATTTCCATCACTTAAAGATTGTATATGTAGACATTGTCATTTACTGAAGCTGCATCAATATTATCATTTCCACAGACAGTACTAGATTTTAAAGTGCAATTGATCCTAGTTTCAAGTAACCAGTTGCAAGTAACGTTATTTCTATTTGTCATACCGTTTCGTCAGGATGACTACCATGGGGTGCGCGACCATTACTCACTCATATAAAGAGAAAGTTTCCAGTTTCCCCCTCCGATTCTTTTCAGCTCAACATCCATTTCTTTTGTCTTCACAAATCATATCCTCGTATTTTTCGAAAAATGAAACCTAGGGGCAACGAATCCTCGAATCTGCTCCATCGTGTTATTTGGACCGACAAGGATCCCAACCATCGGCCAGCGCTCGAATTCTTTGTGTTCGTGGAACCTGGAATGGTCGAAAAATGGCGCAATGATAAAAGTGTCCCTCTCGTCGATGTCCTGACTAGTACGTAAACTGCTAATCCCGCTCAGGCCAAAGTTTACTCAAGCTGACGATCCCATTCTCTACAATGTGTACAGGGTGGCAAATCTGGGAAGTTCCTAATGGAGGTCATACGGGTCGCGCAATGACACCCTCTCGTCAAACACTTATTAATGTGTTTGGCACCACCAATGAAACTGAGATTATCCAGTGTATTTTGAGCGAGGGCAAAATCCTGCTTCCTCACGCCGCGCACCACACCGAGAAGCTTTCTCTGGGGCGTAATAGGGGAGCACCCATCAATGAGACGAGGGGAGAGTACTCGGGAAGGTGTGCGAATAAGCATTTCAATCAATGGGTTGGGTGGAGGGCGTCGGTTCATCAGTGACGTTTTGGATCAGACTGAGACATTGGGTGATGTATCTGCACGCATTTTGTACATAGCCCTGTATATACGCGAAGTATTCGCTAGCTCCTTGCAGATACATTCACAAAACATGCTGTGACATAAAAAAAATCTATCGTGATATATTTGCTGCATACAAAAGGTTGACAGCAATAGCGTCAGATATGTATAAATGTAAATCTTCTTCTGAATTGATGATAGGCGCCTCAGAATCCACTCATTTCTATGCAGTCCGCGGACGTTTCGACGAAGCATTTCCATTCTCCGTCTCCATATTGCCGGTTGGTCTTTTTCTGGCGGGACTAGATATTTCAGTATAGTTTGGCGGCAAGAGTGTCCCTTCGCTGGGCTCGAAAAGCGGTTTAACGGGACTCGTTTGAGCTGAACCGCCTCCCACACCGACACTTGAACCGAAACTTCTTAGCGAGGATCTCTCAGGGCTTGGGCCTAACGGAGCCCACGTTTCTGGTGCATCTAATACGTTCTCGAACAATCGACGAATGTGGCCCCCTTCTTCTTCCCGACATTCTTCTTCACTACTCTCACGTCCATATATTCCGTTCTCAGTTTCCAGCACTCCCAATTCACCAACATGGTTCAGGCGGCGTATTAGTCTCCTGAAAGCTTTCTGTATCTTTTGCCGCTGGTCGTTGTCCCTCGCATAGATCCTGAGCGTTATCTCCTCAAAGTCCGTCGGGATGAAACTAGAGACATGTTCCTTCTTGATAGGAAACGACACATCGGGATGCCACTTCGAAAAGAAGCGAATCAAATCTACAGGATTGCGGTCTTTCATGGCATACCCCAACTTCAGCCATTCAACAATTACGTCCGAATCGGTGAGATTGTCATCCGATCCTTGGCATTCCACTATGGCTTGAGGTGTAATTTTCTCTTTCGCTTCTATCGATGCGTGTAGCGGTACCAGAACATAATCAACGAACCTGTACAGGTCTCGCTTCCGAATCCGTTTTATAATAGAGCGTGCCTTTTCGAGCTCAGGTGCAGAGCTCCGTTCGATTTCCATTATTACGCTATCAGTGACATATACATAGCGCCTCATATCGTCAACCGAAGACGATATGCCAAGATATTTGTCCGCCGCCAATAAGGCTTCCGTAATCATGTATTCGGTCGCCTTTCCTACTCTATGGGTATATATTCTCTACATTGATCTTGCGTGAGGTAGGTGAGCCATTACAACCGACATCGTCAATGCTTACCTTGAAAAGAGAAAATCTTGTGTGGAACATCTGCGACAAATCATCGATGTTACCCTCAGCTGTGAGATGGCACTCCCACGTTACTAATTTACCTCGTATCTAGTGGAGGATTGAGGTCAATCAAGCAGCCATCAAAACTGAGCTGAGCACAAACTTACAAGTTGAACGCTTCCTTCTGGTTAAAGCATATCTGATTATTGATGACACGGGCAAATGCTATAAGCCGCATCGCATCCAAACTGGTCTTGATGCCAACATTGTGGCAGTCCCGTTGAATGTAGTCGAACTGCAAAGCCGGACCTTGTTATTCCGGTAGAGTAGAGTTTCACGACATGCCTCTTTCCGTGTACCTTGTCAACATCAACCGAGTTGCGTTTATTGGCAACAATATCAAACAGGAAGAGCTTGTGCGCCTGAGGATAATCGCTGCGAGGTGCTCCATGAATGAGATCTTTGATAAACCGCATCTGATGTCGCGAGTGAGCTGTTTTCCCACGAAGTTCTCAGACTCTTGCTCCCGCCTACCTCATCTTCATTAATTTCTACATGATCATTATCTTCGACGAGATATTCCAACATATCCTCCGAGGCTTGCTCATGAGTCCACTCCAATTCTGGCCTCGCCTGCTTCATGAACTCATTGTCAAAAATGTGGGAAAAGGGCCCATGGCCCAAATCGTGACAAAGACCGGCCAGCTTCACGCATTTGACGTCATTGTCCGTTATTCCCAGTTCGGGTTGAGACTTGCGCAAGTGCTCGACAAGAACGCCTGCCATATAGCAGACTCCGATAGAATGCTCGAAGCGGTTGTGGGAGGCTCCTGCAGGTGGCGTGAGAATTGTTCCATAAGCTTTTCCGTTTCCGGCAATCGCCCAACTATCTTAAAACTCACCAGGGAAAACGAAATAAGCGCTTCCCAGTTGCTTTAGGTCCCTTAGTCTTTGAAACTGTATCGTATCAACGACTTGCATACAATACTCATCAAGTTCGACGTGGCCATGAATAGGGTCGTTTATAACCTTTGAGTAAGGCAATGGAGAGGCCTCGGTTTGAGCGAGAGGAGAAGCACTAAACTCCTCCTCGTCCAGACAATGGCTCATGGTCCGTGAAGCTGGAGGTGTGTGGGGGACGGCGAACATGGTGGGAGAAGTATAGCTTGTCGTTGTGGGACACAATACCTGTTCAGTCAAAGACTAGGCCTTCAGCTTGGTCTGGCCGTGAGACGGTGCCTAAGCTTGTTCGCCTGCCCCTTCAAATGAGAACAGTCGAAGGCGGGTAGGCAGCCAGAGCAACAAGAAGTCTTGGCCCAAGGTGGATGGTCACTAAGCTCCTGATCGACTGGCTCAAGTAAGCATTTGGAACGTGGTGATTTCCTGCGAGATTACTACAGATCTTCCAGCATTCTTACCGGGAACTGCGAATGAACAGACAAGAAATGTGGGTAATGATGTGATTTATAATCTGCGGCTAGCATCATACTGCATGAGTACAGGCCTAAATCTCAGACTGCGCCTTAATCTGTCAGTTCCATATATGACTTGTTATCAGCAATAGCGTCGGTCCCTTCCTTTTAAGCATCGGCACTTCTGAAAGATGTCATTCTGCTCGACCCTGCTTTCAACCAGTGTTGCATCTAATCTATGATAGGACACAGGCATTGCATATGGGGACTTCATCGATCGGTTGAGGTAGTAGCAGCCTTTGTTCGTGCAGATGCTGTTGTATCAAAGGGTTACGCTCTGCATTTGACGGCCATCAGACTTCATCATTTATATTTACTGGAGGAGGCTGTTGAATTACTGGCGAAAACAGGGGTCAACCACACTAGCCATCGATTTGTTCATATTCAAAAGAGGCGATACCATCGCGTCCGCTGCTAGGAGAAAGAGCAAACGTAATCAGCATGCAAATACGTAGGTCTTGCGTCCCCTATGAAGGGACAGGAGGAAAATCCTTGCAAATGCTTTCAAGAGAGGGTGCTGTGGTATGAGGAAGGGGAAAAGAGACTGACTACCTAGTTGAGATATGCTGAGAACGACTAAAAAACGACAAATAAAGCCGAAGGCGCACGAATGTATCAAGCGTCTTTGCTTTCTGTCGTAGTTGTCTCCGCTGGCCGTTAGGTATCCATTTGAGGTATCCTTTGTTTATTTCAATGATGGGTTCTGATGGTGCCCGGTCTTGTTGCCATGGTTTCTACTTGGTCATGCATGGTTGCACTTTCGTGTCGAGTGCTCCATCTCTCTGCAATGTCCTGGTTAAATGTCGCACTTTGGGTGGGCCTGCCTTTTCTGATATCAAAGGCGAGGGAGTACTTTAAAAAGACCACCCCTCGCCCACCTCGTCCAAAGACCTCTCTTGATACCTTCTCCACATTCTTCCTTGTCTTTGTGGCATGTGCCAACATCCTTGTTGCGACTATACCTTCCCAGAATCTACTGCGGGACCTTCGCGTACACCCGGAGTCACCGTCCTTTGTTGTTCGGAACAATTTCCGGCAATACATGTCTGCAAAATTCCCTGGATGGACGCAAGAAGGTGCATACGATCTGCGACAGGCGGATCCTGCTACGCGAGACCGTGTGGAAGAGCTTGAGAGATTATACGAGCTGCTCAAATCCACGGATAACCGGAGGATGTACCTTCGTTACGGCCACGATGCGTTCACAAAGTGCAATTGGTGTGTCGAGCCGTCTGACTTCATGATATATATTGTTCCCTCGTTGGTTTTGTCGTACGCCATGACCATGGTGTTTATCGGGCTCGGAACTCTGACATGGCGAAAAACACAGTGGCGCACGTATGGGGCAGTGGCTCTTACTGGCATTGCGGTCGTGGATGCATACGTTATATTTCTCAGCGAGGCAGCCCTAGTGGACCGACATGGGGTATCTTCATCCTTGTATGATACAATGTATGGTTGGAGGCGATGGTCGTTTGCGGCGCTTGCCCTTGCTGCTGCATTCATTGACAAAAAAGATGAATGGACGGAAGCCGACATTTTGAAAGACGTGCTGGCAAAGAATCAAGTCATCTATAACAGGGCACAGGCCTTCCGCCTTGCCCGGGCAGCAACCCTGAGCGACGGTACTTTAAGACGTAAATTTATGGAGCATTACAAAGAGAAGGAGGTGTTAAATGATGCTGTCTCAAGAGATCTTGAGTATAAGGTGCGTAAAAATCAAAACGTCAGTCTCAACGCAATATTCACCCTGCAATCACCATGCTATTAGGAAACGCGCGAGAAGGTCCTTCAAAAATACAACTTAAACCAGCTCATAACAGAAGCGCAGGCATTATGCGAACATATTGTACAGGCTGCGATAGATGAAGGGGTGGTTAGCGGCGTTGATCGCCGAGAGACAGATGCCAGCGAAGAGGGAACTGCATCCTCCGACGCACCAGTGTCTGAACCAACACCTACCGCGGCAAATAAACGAAAATAATATTATTCCAGCAAATTGCTATAGATTATTAGGAGGTTTATTTGGCTACAAAGAAAGGCTTCTGCTTCATCCCAGACTGCTGGCCGTTAATTACTACCGCAATTTCCCTTCCAGAGTATCTCATAGGCTCCAATGTCGCATATTCTGAATCATAGTACATAATAGAAAGGAAGGATCCACAGTATCTCTTTCCTGCTAGATGATACCTCTTCGTGGTCCTTTCCGAACAGATAGTGGAGGTGACTTTGGTCGAATAGCCTCAATGTCTGCCAAGGAGAAGAATGTCTTATGTCTAGGACGAGGCATATTGACAGTAGTCGAGCAAAAAGAATACCTGGGGTCGTTGGAACCAAGAGTCCTCCTCTCACGTAGGGAGTACCTTGAGCAGCTCCCTCGCCTCGGAGCCAACTAAGGTACCGGTCCCTGTCCCAATTAGTCGTAGAAAGGCCTAGTCCGACAGTGATCCAACCTCTCCTAATGTTCTCATCATTTCCAAATAATTCGAGTCTTCTACGTCCCATGCAAAAGTGCTCAATGAGATAATACAGCTCCTCCGGCTTGCGGGTGGTGAGGTCTTCAGGCTCCTCGGCGATGATGACATCCGTGTCCACGTTGCAATGAATAAAATGCCCATCGGTGGAACGACGGACTGTTCCGCGGATTCCCATCAAACAGTGCTCCTTGGTGTGCTGGAAGACGGAAGGTGGAGCCATGAGCGGCGTGCCCTAGAGTGCCCGACAAATCAGTCCAATAGTCGGTGAGCGCAATCTATCGCCCTTGACGCATACCGGCCAGGTTTTATTAGTTTTTACCCAACAAATGTCCTCGCATCTGCGGTATCCCCATTTGCGCAACAGGGATCTTCCCTGATCTAAGCCTTCGCAATCTCCCACCCAAATGAAAATAAAGGAAGGTGTGGCAGCCACATCTTCAATCGCAAGGGCTCCAATCTCTTCCCTGCCAGCGAGGACATTATTAGCTTAACACTGAAGTATCAATGCAATAAAATATAAATGATTACCAAGTCCAATATGGACGCACTGGATCGGGACAGTTGATAATAGTAGAAGGAGACCATTCACAGTACCTGGAAAAGAAATAACTCAATTTAGCGTTTTTGACTTGATGTCAGAATTCCCAGAGTGCATACTCTCTCAGCGGAGGGTCAATGAGAATGACATCGAATCTGATACCACCCAGCAAAGTACCCAACCCTTCTCGTCTCAGATTAGCCTTGATGTACATTGGGGGAGTGGCATACGCATCCACAATTGCATCTTTGAGCTGTGCTAGATGTTGAAGCTTTGGATACTCAGTAAACCGGACCAATGGATGGACTTCCCGAATGTAGTTTTGAGGCCGAAGTGACGTATTAATAAAGTTCTGCATATAGTCATTTCGAACGATTATTTGGGCTGCAGGCTGAGGAAGCAGAGCCGATCTGGTGAGTTATCCATTTGTTTATATTGCAAGTAGGCATCTGGAGACCTTTTCTGGTTCATCTTCTGTTTTTTCTTTCTTTTCCGGATTATTTGCGCTTAACTCCAGCAGTTCAGGTTCATTTTCCAAATCGCACCCCATATGAGGTCCCATTACATCCGCTATTTCCTCGATAGGCGTCGTTGCATACGAGACCCATTGGAAAACAAAATTCCATACGCCTTACCAACGATCGTCGTAGGAGCAACAGTGAAAGGACGGTGGATATCGCTTGTATGACTCACATACGGGTGTAGGCGTAAGTAAGGCCTCGTGTCGCCCGCCACCAGGGCGCCAGTTGACTTGTAGAATGCAACGCGGCGGCCTCCTTGCTTTGAACATTGTGCTTCGTCAACGCGTTCATCGTGCTAGAGTCGATTTACAAACCTTATCTTGTTTAACTGTTCGGCGTAGATTACACATAATGGGACCCGCCGTTGTCGCAGAATCCCCGAGAGGACCATTTGACTATCCCGCCGTCCGCCGGGATGAAACTGTTGCCGAAGTTTTACACGGCAAGGAAATCAAGGATCCCTATAGATGGCTGGAGGACCCTGATTCAGAGGAAACCAAGGTAGGATGCTACTGTTCCCACTGTTACCTTCTTTCCACTCCCGAGTCTTGACCACGTCATGGAGTTAGGCCTTTGTGGAGGCGCAGAACAAGCTTTTCTACAATTTCGTTGAAAAGAATCCTTATCGTAAGAGCTTCAAGGAGAAGCTCACTAACTTATGGAACTATGAAAGGTTGAGACCATGGCTCTGACTGGTTGCTTTGGTTTTGTCCAGCACAATAAACTGGAACCCGTTATCTCTCGCTAGATTTGGAGCACCATTCAAACGGGGCGACAATTATTATTACTTCCACAACAGTGGCTTGCAAGCGCAGGCCGTGCTCTACAAGCTGGAATCACTAGATGGGACACCAAAGACCTTTCTGGATGTGCGTATTTCAGCTGCGATTTCAGATACCCATGTCAGTTGCTGATTTCTCAGCTTCTTGCAGCCAAACAAGCTCTCTGAAGACGGGACCGTGTATGTGTTTGCAACATTTGAAAGTTTAAATGCCCTTTCACTTCAACCTTCCTGCTTATCACTCAAATAGCTCCCTGAACACGTACGGATTCACAAAGTCTGGCAAGTACTTTGCCTACGGACTGTCGGCCAGCGGTAGTGACTGGGTCACAATACACGTACGGGAAACTACTGATGATGCCTCCCTGAACTATGAGTCTAAGCCGATCGAATGGTGAAGTTTTAGGTAAACTTTAAAGTATATTCTTGTCTCTGACGCATTGGATTCCAGGGCCAAATTTACAAGTATCGAATGGACACATGACGATAAGGGATTCTTTTACAATCGCTATCCCAAGCCAGCGCATACAACGAGCGACAAAGCCGGAACGGAGACGGACGCGAACAAGAATGCCATGGTAGGTTTACGATGGGATGATTCGCGTCCCACTAGTAGCTAACGATTAGCATTGGCCTAGCTGTTTTACCACAAAATAGGTAGACTATGCGCCACTGGCCATCTGATAACCAATTATGTGAAAGGATGTTGAACGATGTTCTGTCCTTACCAATCTGCAGGAACTCCGCAGGAGGAGGATGTCCTCGTCTACAAACCAGATGACCCGGATTTCATCGTCCATGCCGAAATCTCTGACGATGGAAAATTCCTGATCATGAATGTTTGCCGTAGCTGTGATCCGGAAAAGAAGTTGTATATCCTTGACATTGAGAAGACTTACGAAAAGAATGGGAAGAGGGAAATGACGAGTATGCTTGGAGGTTGCCGTGAGTCAGACAAAGGAGAATTGCCGTAGCTCACGAAAGACTTCCTGTAAAGCGAATCCGGAGATTGCCAAAGTCGTCGAGTAAGGACCCTCCATGACATATTCGTTTGTGGTGCTCGTTAATCATGCATCTCCCAAACCAGCGAGTTCATTGCCGAGTTTGACTAGTATGTTATTATTTGCAAGTATTTCATTACCGGTACTGTGAACCAATAGTGTGCAATCACAGCGTGACGAACGAGGGATCGGTCTTCTGGTTCCAGACCACCTTAGATGCCCCCAAGCGTCGTATCGTCAAGTACGACTTGGCTGATCCTCAGAAGGTAAACTAGCAAGGTCAAATTCTTTTGACTCTCATTTCACAAGTAACCTTGTACCCGAATCCAGGGCTTTGTTGAGGTGATCCCGGAAAGCGAAGATGTCCTCTCCTTCAACCGGGTTGCAGACAATGATAAGCTGATTCTTGCTTATCTGCATGATGTGAAGGTGATAAAGCAGTATCTTACATTTGCTCTATCGTTGGTTCCTGACTTGGCTGTTGTATCCGATGTAGCATGTGGTCAGGCTTTATTCTTTGAAATCCGGGGAAGCACTGACCCCGAAAGAACTGCCATTGCCATTGGGGTCTATAATCGGGTCTTTGACGGGTCGGAAAGAAGATAAGGAAATGTATGACGCCAATGTCGGCTGCCTAGTCGTATAACAATTTGGCTGATTTCCACTCTGACAGTTTCTACTCGTTTTCATCTTTCACGACACCTGGAATGATCTATCGATTCGACTTCCGCACCCTGAAGCATTCTGTTTTCAAAGAAACACAAGTGAACGGGCAAGCTACAGTCGTTTATTTTCCATGTCGGATGCCCTTCGCTCACACCCGTTCCCGATCAGTTTGCAGGCGGATCTCCTGGAGACGAAGCAAATCTTTTATACGAGCAAAGACGGCACCAAGGTACTGGCTGATACACAGTTTCAGAGGCACTGAGCTTTTTGATGCTAACGCAGCGCTTAAAGATTCCTATGTACATTATAAGCCGAAAGGTGGGATCTCGAAGATGTGAAGTACCTGTTGACTTTCCAGAATCTGTTTGATGACCGATATTATATTAGGACACACCACTGGACGGTAACAATGTTACACTCCTATACGGTTACGGAGGGTTTAATGTCTCTATCTTACCATCATTTTCGGTCACCTGGTACGTCTATCCACTGATGACTATGTCCATAGCTTGATAAGGAACTAACCTTGCCTTGCATGTAGGCTGGTAGGACACCAAGTTTCATCGTCATCGATCTCCCTTTATTTTCTTCTGATCTTTCTTTTGATGTTTATGTAGACCTTTGTGCAGCACATGAAGGTATGACCTACAGTGGCAATTCACGGCACGACGCCATTACTGATGTTACGCAACCATGAAAATCAGGGGGTGGTCGCAGTGGCAAACATCAGGGGAGGAGGCGAGTACGGACAGGAGAAGTGGTATGACCAAGGAAAGAGAGACAAGAAGCAAAATGTCTTTGACGATTTCCAAGCTGCTGCAAAGTGGCTCGTTGAAAACAAGTACACCAACCCTAAAAAGTTGGGTATTAACGGTGGTTCTAATGGAGGATTGCTTGTGGGTGCTTGCTTAAACCAAGCTCCCGAATTGTTTGGATGTGGAATTGCGGATGTCGGTGTGCTTGATATGCTTCGATTCCATAAGTTTACCATTGGGTACGCTGTTTTGTTGACTTGCGAGCGATTCGACCATTGATGATTAATCCCGTTAGACATGCATGGACCTCGGATTACGGAGACCCAGACAAGAAAGAAGATTTTGACGTACTACTCAAGTATGTGTACATTTCTGTGACTTCAATGCATTGCACGCTAATCCTGTCCTTTCTCCAGATACTCGCCTCTCCACAATGTACGGTCAGACAAACCGTACCCAGCAGTGCTAATAACCACTGGTGATCATGATGACAGAGTGTAAGCAGAGCCTGACTTTGTAGCCATCATATCAAAAATTGCATTTCATAAATGCGGCTCTTTTCGACAGTGTGCCGCTGCACTCTCACAAGTTCTTAGCGACGCTTCAGCATACTGCACGGAACAATCCGCAACCTATCATGATCCGGGTTGAGACAAAGGTATGTCGCCGGGTGAGCCCTTCCTCCATAACGTTGCTAAACATGCGGTTCATACCATAAGGCTGGACACGGAGCTGGCAAGAGCACACAGCAACGGGTAAGACCTTTGTTTTTGTCTACTGTTCCAGCATTTCTACGCGGTGCTGACGACCGGACTCATGGTTGATCAGATTGAGGAAGCTACCGACAAGTTCTCCTTCCTTGGTCTGACTCTGGGAGCAACCTGGACTGACTGATTGAACGTGTTTGGCCTGAGGTCGAATACTAAAAGGGGGACCCAGGTAATTTAACTAGTCAAATCTTTCTAAAGTAGATGAGAGACTAGATGGTCGGCGTGGCCAGTTGTTATGCCAAATATAAACGTCTGGGATTTGATTGCGGTGGTTCATCGTTACCATGAGTTTGCAAATGGATGAAGGATTTACGTAACAGCATGTGCAGATAACTGGACGTTAGTCCACTGCCTGGTATATTTCCTGTCTAGGCTGCCCGCCATCGCTGTGATGTCGTCTTAGGCGCGTATCTTCGAAACGCTTTGACTGTGAAAATATGAATTATAGCATAAGGATATGATGTTTGTAAGTCCTTGGCTTCCTAGGACTTGCTAACGGTTCGGTTTGTAGAAATGAATGGGATTGCATAGGAATATTTGGGCGGGTCCTTGCGATTCATAATTAGGTTGCATGAATTTGGGAGACATTTGTAGGATAGTAAGGTACTTACTCCTACACAGTTAATCACTGGCCACCACAGCGTATTGAATTATATGCAATTATATGCACTGAAACCTACATCTTTGCGTGAGTAACTAATGGATTAGCAGGAATGCTGTTATCTGGATGTCCGAGGTAGTAGGGAGCAAAGAAGACAAATATTGATAATAAAATAGCCATCTAAACAAAACCTACCTAATCTTTAGATGTGAAATATGGATGGAATCTTAAACGATCACTGCTGGAAGAAATTCCTTCAGGATTATTAGAACCATCTTGAGCAGTGAGTAGCACTGTAGGAGAGCGGTAGGAGCGCATTGTAAGCCTCTCTTACAAGCCTCTCGTAACTTTGTAGGAGATATGAACACGAGTTCCTGTATCCACCATCTCACCCGCCCTGTCGTCCTGCCGTAGTCCGCAAAACCATCACCATCAAAGACCATACTGTATTCTATGGCCCTTTATGAAAGTGAAAAACGCAACAGTTTTTCTGCTCAAAGCAGATCTGAGCATAGAAGGCCAAGAAGTCTTTGACGCACTTGAGAACGAGCTCGCTCCCTCAAAGATCAAAACTCTCAAACGCAAACTCTATCATAGACGTATCACTGGCCAGTGGCTGGTCCAATTCGAAAGTCCTCCGGCTTACAAGCGTACCATCGAGATCTTCGGCTGGAGATGTCGACTCATCATTGAAAAAGGACAAACGTGTGTTGCTTGTGGGGTTTCCGGACATCATGGCTACGAATGTCCGGCCACGGAGCTCGTTATTGTACCTGCTCCTTGATGTTTTAAGTCATGTATAGTATAGCTACTTTGAGTATTGCACTGTTGCATCATCGGGACTCCGGCTGTGGCACGATGGCAACGATTCTGGCTTTTATGTTTATTTTATATGCTAAGGGTTTTCAAGAAGGCTAGCGTATTGACACGGGCGCATTGCGGGTAGCTGAAAACTGGCATCTGTCGTATATCTTAAGGCAGCCTGGTACCGAATGTGTAGCCATAGGTCAGAATAGGATTTAATTGCAAAGCATTGACTATGATTAAGTGATTAGAAGCCTCTAATGGGAAACGTTGGTTCATGCCCATCGTAGAAAATTAACGGAGCATTCAAATCGATCCTCTGAATGGGAGAAGCAAAATCGCTGTATAGCGCTACAGGCGGCCCCAACCTTTGGCAATTGCCTTGAGAAGTGCAGCTCTGTTTAGTTTTTGCCGCTGTGGAGTGGGGGGCCTCAGACTGCGGGCGACCATCCTATATCTGGTACATCTTAGGGTTTTACGGTATACAAAGAATGCGCTACGGCGTTCGTGAACTGTAGGTTCACCCGCCCAAAAGCTACCATCTGATCTCTTTTTCCGATAGACAAGCATCGTGAATACCTGGATGAGACAGTCCCGCGCCCGCTAAAACAACGGAAGCCTCTCTTTCTGAGGTAAGAAACGAAGCGCATTAATGCCGTTTGGGCCGTATACATACCAGTAGTTAGGTACTTCCATCGCTTATTACACTGTCGGCAGTACAAACTTCCTTCCATTGAGCAGGAGCGTTCGCGTATACTCGTCATCCCCAGCACCCGCGTGTATGGCATACGATGGATGGATCAAGGACTGACATTATAAATGACTTGGTGTTACATCTATAAACATGGTTGAAACATAAAGGACTATGACAAGGCGTGGGATTCGTCTGGATTTCTTGTAGCGAAGCATGAGCAAAGGCGTTAGCGTTGCTACGAAATTTGCTTATCGTTTTTGATGAACAAAATGAAAGGAATGTGCATGCGTCAGTACAGGGTATATATACATCGATATCCTCCTTGAAAAAACTCAAGTTCCATGTCACAATGAGATGTAAGACCTTTCTATTTTAACAATTCGTGCATATCCGTATACATTATTCTTTGGAGAGTAGAAATATCAGAGAGCACTATTAATACAAGAAAATCCAACGGTAAGTGGTATGCAACAAAGCCAACCAACTTTGGTTTTAACTGAAAACGACATTCAAACATGGAACAAACCTTCAGTAGCGTAACTGGGATCTCGATGATATATCTTTTGTAAGAAGCTGATGAGCGCTCCGGCCCTGATGATTGTTTCTTCTGGTGGGAGATTACTAATCGAGCGAGTATCTACTGCAAACGGATTTGCTGGCGGGGGTTCTACGCTCATGGAGACGACTTGTTCGATGATATCGGGTAGCGCGAGATCTGCGAGGATATGAAATGCGAAGAAAGGATTAGTTTGACAAGAGCTGAGAAAATGGCCAAACATGAAAGCATCTGAGAGCACATACTTTTTTCAAACCATTGTGCGGTGGTTTCTAATTGAATTGGCATGCTATCGTCCTCTGGCGCATGGTCAACACCTCGAAAACGCTGCCCATGTTTTGAACGTAGCTATAGTCAACAGCAACACATAATCATAAGTCACTTGCGAGGCCTTAAACATTCATGGAAAGCAACCGCATACCCAAACATATGGTCGGCCATAGCGCGCATAGACGGCCAAGAGAACAGAGATATGTTGCGAATCCTATCAGATATGTGTGAAGAAACTGGGCTCATATGCGACAAGTCCCGATATTCCTACATTCTCCAAATCCTGATCTGATGGACTCTGTACTGATATTGCGTTTCTGAAAAGTCCACCTGTCATTACAGATTGCCGAGAAGGGGCCCGTTGTGTGAAGCTTTGAACTCACCCTTTATGGACCCGACGTGAAGAAGTCTGTCGCCTAAGTAAACGTGCGTGAATATCAGTAATTGTAGGGCACAGCGTTTCTAGCTACTCTATAGTCCTACTTTGATAAGGCAATATCGACCGAATTTGAGAACGGAAGGCATTTCTGTGAGGATGATGTTTCAACTTGTAGAATTAACTCTTCTCTTCCTCTTAAGCAGGTGTCAAAATATTTGAAGCCCTGAGAAAGCTTCTGAATAAGCGAGATGCCGTGGCGAAAATGTCGGTGTATCTAAGCTACACTTGTGGTCAGCAAACCTTGAGGCCACCTATTACCACCAGATCTGCGAGAGCTGTGGCCAAACGAGCTGGATCCTGTATACAATTGGGATGCAGAGACCGCATGAGAAGGCAATCTTCAACAAAATACATGCTGCTTGAGAACAAACCTGTTGAGATTGCTGCTGAGCGTATGCCATTTTTATGTCTGCGGAAAACCAGGGAGAGTTGAGCAGACGACGATGAGACGGGGAAACGCGACACGTTATACACGTAATCCACCAAGCTAAGCTGTGGTCCCCCTCATCATCCTACACGCAGCGTTGCTGTAACTGCTATTGGAATGCTGGATGAGTTTGTACCAGCAAGTCGCTGAGTGGGTGCGGCTCCCCGACCCGCCTTGCGTCAAGCCTGGACAAGTGAACCTGCCTGTGAGCGGAACCTCAACAGAAGTATATGAGGCACCACCGACACCCTCGTTTGAACAAAAATGGGAACGTCATTTCGCCTCTCACACTCCACCGGACTTTGGCCACTCCATTCTTCACAAACTATTCCCGACACTTGTCGGTGATATTACAGCCTTCGACGAGAGAGACCCCGACCTAGGACCATCTTCCGATGATCTAGAGGGAAAGGCAGGGACCACGTTCACTTTTCTCGCCCACGGGTCATATGGGGCGACATGCCGACCTGTTCTTGATGTATTGCGCAAGTGGCAATTGAGAATGGAGGCTAGCCCTGTGCGGTTCTTCTACGATATGCTGTATCCGTATATTGTGAGATCGGTGCGCCTTGTGAGCGGCCTAGTGGGTGCCCGACCAGAGGATACTGTTCTGGTGACGAATGTAGAAGTTGGTATGAATGCTGTGATGAGGTACACATCGTTAATCCCTGCAGAGGAATTGAAGAGATGCAGAAAGCCATTGATTGTCATCAGTCTATTCTAGATCGCTGACATTTGGGCCAGGCGACAAGATAATTGCCTTCGACCTGACTTATACCGCCGTTTTATATTCTGCACAACACATCTGTGACCGCACGGGTGCTGAGCTGTTGACCTTTCCGATGACCTTTCCGGTATCTCCAGAGTCAGTGGTTGCCGATTTGCGCCGGTTTTTGGAGGGTTACGACCAGCGTCGCGGAACCATCAGGCTCGCCATCTTTCAGCATATCACCAGCCCGACTGGTATGTTTTGACTAACTCAGAATGCTACTCATGCCAACATGCAAATAAATCAGATCATATTTCCAGCGATATTATTGCCTGTTCGCAAGCTCATCACGTCCTGTCGCGAGTACAATATTCCTGTAATGGTTGATGGTGCACATTCTATTGGTGCGATCCGTTATGCTATCAATACCAGCGTCTCCATTGCATCTGACGTCTTCACGCTCCTAGGACAAATCCCGATGAATCTAACCGAGCTTGGTGCGGATTTCTATGTGACAAATACCCACAAGTGGTTATGCAACGCAAGAGGATGCGCCTTATTGTGTAAGTCGCATTGCGTTCTTTGCTATCTGCAACTATCAGATCACCTGATGGAGTAGGACAGGGGTTCATCCGCAACATCACAGCAGAGTGTATCCGCTGACAACCAGCTGGGGACATCTAAACAAAGAATCCCTTCAGGCACGATTTATATGGCAGGGCACCGCGGATTATAGTCCCTTCTTATCTCTTTATATTGCCGTAAAGTTCTACAAGTGGTTAGGATACGACAAAGTTATTCAGCGAAACCGGCGCCTTGCTTCCTGGTGCGCGAGCTTATTAGCCGAAGCTTGGGGAACAGAGCCGCTGGTCGCGGTGGCGCAAAACGATGAGGATAGTTTGGACACAAAAGAGTCAAAGTGGGAGACAGGAATGATTGGGAGCATGTGCTGCGTCAAGATACCACCCGCTAATACCGACATGCATGGAATAATTGATCTTCACGACGAGCTCTTGGACAAGTTTCAGATCGAAATCCCAGTTTTCAGCTTTCAAGGGCACCGGTACGTACGCGTGAGCCTCCACATGTATAACGATGAGAAAGACTGCCTCGCATTAGGTAGAGCCGTGCTCATAGCATTAGGATACCCGACTACATACAATGGCTACATATTATTAGATAAAAAGGAGCATGCTTTATCAAAAGAATAGAAAACATTTATGCCTTTTTCGTTAGGCTGCCGCTAGGATACTGTAAATGGCACCACGAAACCATTGGCGTAACATGGAATATTTACTTCGGATGTAAGCTGCCGCGTCAACGGTTGTCTAAAGGGATTCACTTTCACCCGTGCGTGAATGCCTGCGTTCGTCTTCTTCAGTGCTTTAGCCACTTGCTCAGCATCAAGCTCCGTGCGTTCCGCGAAAATGACATTGGTCTTTTGGGACAAGATGGCGTCCAAAGTTTGCCGCGAAGCTTTCGCTTCCTCAGCATCCATAGAAGCATCAATAAAAAGTTTCGTCGCAGCATCATGACAAACTATCAGGTGTGGTGGATACTTGTCACGGGGAAAGTCGCTGTAACTGCTTCGGGCAAAGTGTACGCGGACACAACACTCCAATTCCGAGTTCTTGTACTCCACAGAGTATTGTCGACGAGCAAAAACAGCAGGGTGATTCAGAGTCAGCTTCCCTCCCTGTTCTTGCTCTGTTATCGTAGCGTGCACCGTGTAGTCAGTAGATGTAATGGGGATAACCACGATTTCTCTTGCTATTATGAAAATGTCCACCGTAACTTGCGGTAACAGTGCAGCCAGACACTCGTACGTGGCAGCGAGTTCCACATCCGTCTGCGAAGACTCGATAATATGCAAACACACATATGATCCGCGCGAAATGGGTAATGAAGATCGCGGAAACAGATGGGTCAGTCCGTGAAACAACGTCAAAGCGTTCGACAATAGCAGACATGCGGGTGAGTTTTTCGGTATGGACTTTGCTTTATAATAATCTTTCCATCCGCATATTGCGGCGGGCGTATCACGGAAACCAGAGTCTGGTGACAAGGGCGTAGAGAAAGGACATAGGGTTTTGGGAAAGGCCTCAGTTGCGACGACGGACTCGGAGACTCTCATGCGAGCTACCAAATCAAATGTCCCCTGAATAAGATCCGTCCGCCACAGGCCATGACCCAGGATGCAGGTATCTGACAGATAACCGTGCAAGTCAGCTCGATCATCAAGTAATCGCCGGTCCACTTCAAGTCCAAAGTCACGAAGTTCTGGTGCTCTGCTCATATGGGTCTTCAGAATGTTGCAGTAGGTCTTATGCTGAGGCCAATCTACTGCTTGGCACTCCCGTGAGCAGTAGTTCATCGCTTTGCATGAGGAGCATCGTGAGATCGAAGCAGCTGGCAATCGCTTGCTGCACACATGACATGCAAACCGTCCACTCGAAGGAGATGATTGCATCTGTTTAGTGCTCCCTAAGCCATCAGCATTGGTAACTTCGCTGGATCTCGCTCCCTTTTCCCCTTCAAAAATAATGGCCACCTCCAGCTCTGATCGCGCCTTCTGCGCCAGGTACTGCAGGGTCGACTGAAACTCCGCTTTGCCTGATAATTCATCTTCGGTGTTGCTATGTGAAGAAATCTGAACTACTTGGGGCCTGGCAGCGTTCTGTCGTGACATTGGGAAACATATCGCCCGGCACAGGAACGCATACAGATCGTCCAGGGAAGGTGGTGCACCTGGAAACGACTCAAAGTTCAGCACAGCGGCCTCGCTACAAGTTGCCGCCGCTCTCACTGTTGCAAGATATACAGGGCGAGAGTCGTTCGCCTGGCAACAGACGCGGTAAAGTCGCGGATTGCAATAAAGCTACTCAAGGCGGAAATTACTTACCACCCCAGCTTGCTGGACAGTTAGCTCCCAGCGCGCACCATTCTGTGGAATGGAACTGGCAAGTCGTAAAGACTCGACCTTCTCTCGCTCTCTGTCCTCTTCTGTGTATGGTTTAGGGCCGTCCGCCATGGTGGTCGTCGTGAGTCTGCAGAAGGAGGATTTGCTGATGATCGACAGGGGCGTGGCGCAGGGGGCTGTGCTTGATGACGCGTCGCGCGACGGTTATCCCTCCCCATTGCCATGTATTTCCGTCGAAACTTCTTCTCTGCTTCATAGTGCACATCGCTATATGGACTCCAAGAACACCGAAGCAGAAGGGAAGACGATCCTCCTGATTTGTGATTTTCAGGAAGGGACACTTTCCATCTGGAAAGAGGACCCCGAGTGGAAGGAACGAACTCTTGCCAATCTGCGATCTCTCCTATCCTCTGTCCGCTCAACGACCATGTATAAGGAGAGGAACCTCCTCATTGGATTTGTTGGAATTGCATTTAGCCCCGGTTACCCAGAAATTGGTCCAAACTCTCATCACATCTTCCAATTCTTTCTAAAGTCGGGTATGTTTACAGTGGTGGTTGCACCATTGACACAACACCCCGGAACGTCACTGACGGTTACTCGCTAATGAATAGGTATCCTTTTAAGGGGCAATCCCGATGTAGAATTTGTTCCAGCTCCCGATATAGCAGATGACGATAGTTGGCCTAGAGAGTTCATTTTGTACAAAACTCGAGGATCTGCTTTCCATGATACGCGCCTGGATACTATAATCCGGGCGCAAAATGTGGAGCGCATTGTCATATGTGGTCTGGCGACAAGTGGGGTCGTCTTGAGTACAGTTAGGCAAGCAGCGGATCTAGATTACGACGTCATAGTGTTAGAAGATTGCTGTGGGGACCTGAGCAAAGAGCGACACACGGCGGCTATTGAACATATTTTCCCTATGCAGACAACAGTCACACAGTCGAAAGAATGGGTTGCAGATCTCAAATAAAGTCCCTATCATCCGTATCACTAGCTATTGTTTGGCTGTACAGAGCTCGTAAATTGAAACCCTCCAACGTCAAGCGTTGTGCATGCCAATGAACTCTCTTTTTGTGGTGGGAATGTTACCGACGATTCATGAAGTGCGATCACATTCTGCTGTCCTTGCTTTTTCAAGTCTCATCATGATTATTTCTGAATGATACTACCATAAAATGCACTTCTTATGTCGTCCCGTCGTTTCCGAGGTGCCTAAACAACTGGAATCTGAGAAATAGTCCATCAAAAGGCCCGGGAGTGACGCTCCATACGTTGACGTAATGAGTACAAAATGCTTCAGTAGACGGGAACATAAAGACCCTTGCCATCTCGTGGAGTTGCTCTTCACGCACAGCTTCTGGTGTAGATCTGCAGGAGGGTTGGTGACGTTGCAGGAAGCTGAAAAAAGCATGGCGAGAAATTACCCAACAACGGTCTGAATTCCGGATTCTCCTACGGTGGGGACTCTTGATGTCATGTTTCCGAACTCGGCAGCCTCTTGTAAGTGAACCTCGTGGTTGAGAATGTCCGGGTGAAAAGCATGATCTTGCGTATTCATTTGCATTTCAACGGCCTACAGCGGCATTATATCTTTCCAAATCTTCAATTAAGAAACGCGGGTCTAATAGCCGTACCTTGCGTGCATGCGAACTGATCTTCTCTTCAATCTTGCTGGATCCAATAATGTCGTCGTTCACATGGGTGTATGCAATTCCGCACTCGTCGAGAATAGCTGCAACAGTGTCGCGCTCTATCCGTGATTGGCGGACTATTTCATCGTCTCCTAATCATTCGGTTGGTAGTTATATAAATTGGGTTATTATCAAGTGAACAAAGAAGGACGCACCACCTTGTATGCCACACATCTGATCAGCAAGGGCCTCCTCGTCATCCTGAATGACGCGTTAATCAGGGTTTGTTTGTGAACATTGCAGAAAAGCACTGCCCGAATGGTGGTTTTGATACCTTTGTATCTTCCCCAATCATTTCGCCATCATTCGAATCAGCTTGTCTGATGTGATCTACGTGAAGATCCGCAACTTCAAACTGAATTTCGGCTTTTTCAGTACGCTTGACGATGAGCTTTGTAATAAGGTCGCTCTCCCGTTGCAGGGCAAATAAATTTTCAATTCCGAAAAGCTCTCCTATGTTGCCAGGCATTTAGCTACGACCGGTAGCAAAGTGGCCTGCGTTCATAATTAATGTACCGGTTTGCGAGGGATCGCCCATGACTCCTTCAAAATACCGCCGCTCTTTGGAGGCCGTGTAGCCAATATTAGCCTGTTGTTGCTTATATCTGAGAGATCAAATTAGTCCGAATTACAGACATGTTTGTATTTGATGACTGAAACCAACAGTTGTCGCCCATAAACCAGTTCTTCAAGGGAACCAGCAGCTATTAGGCGATAAACTTTCACGTCGCGCCTTTGACCTATGCGGAACGCCCTATCTTGAGCTGCACATTGGACAACGTGAGCTCAAGCAGTCCTGTCACAACGAGTATGGTTTACTACCTTGAAGGTCATGGGATGGATTCCAGTTCGGATCAAATACTTGAAGGAAGCGAACAGCACGATTTAACCTCTTCAATTGGCAAATGAATCTCTAAAGACGAACGGCGTTAGAGTCACCTACCCACTAAGTCCTGCATTAGCGCACAGAAGGTCGTTAAAATTCAACCAAAAAGTTTACATACCTACAATGTTGGCGGAAGTTAAATTGAGACCGACTCCTCCTGCCCGTGTGCTGATAAGGAAAACGAATTTCTCCGCATTGCAATTGAACCTGTATCAATTAGACCCTTCTCAGCCCAAGATTCATCACTCATACCAGCGGATTCACTTACTCATCCACGATATCCAAACGTTGAGCAACAGGCGTCTTCCCGTCCAAACGGCAGTAGTCATATCCTAATAACCCGCTTCCATGAGAAAGCGGCAAAATCTCGGTGATGAAGAACACTCACCAGAAGTGTACATTAATTTCTCCAGCATGTCCAGTAAGCGGACCGAGTAACTAAAGAGGAGTACTTTGCAACCGTGCTTTTGCCAGTTTGCAAGAAGCTTCTCCAGAATCTATAATCAATGGCTTTCAGATGCAGCTCATCGTTGAATGACAGCATTGGTACAGCAACTGTAGGCGAACGTACTTTCCACTTGCCGCAGTTTTCCGGGTCAGAGTACTCTCGAAACCCGGGTTTTCTAGACTCCCAGTCGTTAGGGAATCCGATCCGTATGAGCTCTTCGTCCTTTTGACGCTTTTCCTTCAGATCATCGGCATCTACAAGAATAAACCCATGTCAGAATCATGCGGTAGGGAGAGCAAGCTGGTTACCCACGCGGCATAATTAGCGCAAGGTGATTCGAAATCTTTTGCAACGTTATCAGGCCAGGGAGAACCAGAAACTAAATAAAACATATATCGTCAATGACCAACCCTTAACAACCGATCACATTTAAAACATACCCGCCAATGAACACCCTCGCCATTTTTCTGATAACAGCACTTGCCCCGGGGAGTTCGCAGGTTCCTAACACGTAGAGTCCGTTGTAAATCATCTAAGCGTTTGACGTCCTCTGCTAGTAGTATCATACCGTCCTGCTTTGCAATCGCAAGGGTCATTCTTACGTACTAATAACTCGAAATCCGCACTCTTCAATATGCGATCGTAAACAATTCGCTGGGTATCCGTCAAAGGGCAGAAAATCACTAGGTCTTCCTTTTTGGGTAGCTGATGCGCAATCAAGGCTTTGGTTCTTCGCAGCATCCATTTGTTCAGTATGCGCTCTTTGAGTTTGATAGCAGTTTCCTGGAAGGAAGAGTGAGATGAATAGTTTCAGGAACTGAACTACCTTGTTTAACGAGAAACCATACCCGCGCAAGAGCTAATTCCCTCTTCGATGCGTTAAAACTTTGGCCCTTTCTTAGAATATTCGATATGTTGGTTTCCCAATCCTTCAATGAACCGACGGAACCTGTCGAAGAGGGATTAATGCACCCGTCCGGCCAAACTGCCAATGCTCCTGTTGCACCAAACCTGGGTTGCACCAGTCCAGCAAGCACCACAGCTCCTTGTACTTGTTCTGAATGGCAGTGCCCTGCGACACTATGCGTGATAAGAAAAGCGTAGAGCTACTTACTGATTCTCTCAACTCTTACCGTCAAACCTAGTCTACAACGCACTCGCATGCCTCTCATGATCCGGGTGATCGCGGCCTTGTCATCTGTGTCGTGTGTTGGTACTAGTAATGTCGATATACTTGACAAACGCGGTCACCTTTGAGCTTGTGTGCCTCATCTACGACAAGCAGGGTCCACTCAATTTCATCGATTGCTTTCCAATTATTGCGACATGTGTCAAAACTCGTTAATACTACTTCGTAATATCCTGGCACCGTAAAAGGTTAACTACACATCTAGGTGAAGGTGCGACCGTCATAGTTCCAACCTTTTGCGGCCTTTTCCAGTACCTCATCCTTTTTCGTGCCGTGAAATATGCCCACAGCAAAGTAACCCCACTAATATGGGACCTTCAGATATTCAAAAATAAAAGTACCATGATGATTGCAGACCAAAACGTACAGTATCAAGTTCTCGTTTCCAATTATAAATTACACTGGATGGAGCCACGATCAAGATCCGAATCAAGTTCACATCATCGTTCATCCGTAAGGCTCGTATCCGCATGTGCTGGTCGTCGGCACTGCCAGTTTTACCTTGTCAACGGTTGCGTCAGTTGGGCTCATCAGGTTCATGTATCCAAGTAGGCCACACCTAATATTGCTGCAAATAGGGCTATAACCTAAGAAGGTGTCAGCAGCTGAATTCGAAACTGAGATAGAACCAAACAGTGATGGCTGATGTCTTCACCTGCACTGTTTTCCTACACATGCAAAAGCTTAGATCAATCCTGATGAGCGGTTGCAGCGCATGTGGTTAACACATACCCTAGCCCCATGTCATCGCAAAGGATGCCACTTGATGCAAAAGGTCATCATGAGTAGATGGTTTAGCAAGGACATGCCGGTTTATACCCACCCCTTGTTCCGCACGTATAGGTCGTACCTGATATGATATTACATGAGAATAATACTGCCTATAGGAATCATCCAGGTCACATACATAAATCGCACGCCATCTCTTTGGTAATCCCTCAAATACTGATTTATGCCAGAAGGAACCGCCTAAAACAGAATATGAGTCACTGTAACATCTAAACACTTTTAAAGACTGGTTATATCGTACATCCGGGACTTTCTTATCAGATGATAAACGTAGGGCCGCTTTGGTACTTGGTGGATTGGCATGCGGGAAGTACTAAAAGCAGCATTAACCAACTGCTGGCCAAACCCTCTAACATTGCAGCCATCTATGCACCGGCTTTATAAGCTCTTGCTCTTCGGGACCGCGACGTGGGGATATCGGTGTGGCAGGTTGCTGTAAGCATTGCGCACTACTTGGAGCAGATTCTGAGCATTGATGTGTTGGTTCCGCCATGTCCTCTGGAGACAAAGATACGATTCATTGCACCGGGTTTTGGGAATCAACTGATGCGCCTCTATAAGAGGACTCAACGGTTACCAAAAGGCTGGTGATTTTGTTTGAAGGCTGGTAAAAATGACTTCAGCGTTGCGACCATGAAGTTGTATCATAATACTGGAAAAGTTACAGTTTGGGTGAAATATCGGCAGTCCTTCAACGCCACCACATCTGCAAATATCGCACATATTATTGTATATTTCACTGTTTCTAGACACGAAAGGCAGGCAGAGCACCGAACTGGCTCAGGGCTTTTGGTCGGGGCTTACACGAACCTACGCTCCTGTTGGGTGTCCTTGGTGCATCCATTTTGCGGATGCTCCAAAGTATCATGACTTTCAGCAGAGTGCCTCAATACGCTAGTCTCTTCATCTGTCTCTGCATCTGAGTCGGAAAAGGACAATAAGCGGGACATGAGCAACAGCCAGAAAGCAAATGGGGAGCTCAAGGCTGCTACGTTGCGTTGATCATCCAGCCAAGATCAATGGTTTTAATTATTCCAAATCGGGTGTCATTGAGCGGGGGGAGGCTATAAAGAGTGCGAACCTCGAATGTTCTCACCCATCTTTCTTTCCCATCTGCACATTGTTCATCTCGGTTGCTCGCGTTTCTTCTTTCTTTCAGAGGTTTCGGCACTCCGTTGTGGGCTCTGGGGTGGTAGTGCACGCTGGTGCGTGGTAGGCGTAGTACGCGACTCTTCTAGGGAAGCGTCCCTGAGAAGGGCGGTGGATCGTCACGCCGTCTGGTTGGACGACTGGTTTCCAATATATAAAGAGTACCAGTGGCATATGCGCTAACTGCGTGTTAGATACATATAGGTATGTTATTGCATATACTAGAATTGGTAGATTGAAGCTCTTGATCCGCCCTGAATTATTCGATCTGATCTACGTTTTTGTCTACCCTTGGGCTCTGGTGACCAAGACCTCGTGCAACCTCCAGCATCTGACTGATACGTACTCAGTGCTGCTCACTACAAAGTATCAAGTCAAGTCCAGTCGCAAACCTATCAGGCACTAGAAATGAATAGATCGCACGTCCCAACATTTACACAGCCGTCCCAGGATGTTCATGAAGATTCCCTGCAACCAGTTCACCAAACCAACATTTCGTATGCCCTTAATCTGGACTACTCTTACAGGAACACGAACGATGCAGGTACAGCTCTGTATCTGTGCATTTGCATATGCTTTCCCTAATCATCCTGTTCGTTACAAAATTCT